GACAATGCAATTATTAAACGCATTGACTTGACCAGAGAAAGTAAGAGAGTGTGAAATACTATTAAACAAGGGGAATCGGACATTGAGAGAAGCCGGACGCTAATAATTAACCGGCGCCACATGACTTGTCTCTCACATGTATTATGAGAATGTGTATATGTAGGTGTAAAGTCGTGTTTTATATATGTAATACCGGATAATTTCAGATAGTTCTTCGTTCATTAAGCTTTTGTTACTCATTTTATAGCTTAAATATTCATTGTGGAAATAGCAAACTTTTGACAACTTTTTTTTTTATTTTTTATAGGAAAATTTTTATTTGGAATAGGGACCATTTTATTTCTGACTATAGAAATGAAATTTTTTTTAACATTCACTAATTTTTTTTTCTTAAAGTTCATCATGATGAAAAAAATAAATAACTTGATTCGAGAGAAAAATTCTTGAACCAAGAAAATAATTTTGAACAGGGTAATTGTCTTGAATCAAGACGAAAAATTCTTGAATCAAGTATAACTTCCTTAAATCAAGAAAAATTTTATTAGTTCAAGAATTTTTCTACTCAAATCAAAAAGATTAAGTTCTTCAAAATTATATACTTGATTCAAGAACATTTTTTTTTCTGTGCACAAATAAAATAATTGGAAAAAGAAAATTTCAAAAAATGATTAAAAATTTCATAATAGTTCGAAAATTTGGCATTAAACATTTTTTTTTAATTATTTTCACACGTAACATACAAAAAAAATACTTAACGATTTTCAATATGCATTTAATGCTTTCAACATTAAAAATTTTCATACTTTTTTTTCAGGTGTGCCCTGAAAATCATTAATAAAAAAAAAAGAACCGAAAATGTCAATTTTTCAATCAAAAAGTAATTTTTGGAAAAATTACAGAAAAAAATTAAAAAATATTTTTTTTTCTGAATTTTTTGTATAATTGTTATTCATTTTTACATATACAATATGAAAAAATAAACGAAAATGTCTACTTTTCAATTTTTTATGTTCCAAAATACGGTAATCTTTAATTTCGATCAATAACAAAAAGAAAATTTCAACTCTTCTCTTTTCTACAGATATCTGATCAAATTAAATAATAACAAATATTAATTAAAAAAAAATAAAATAAACTCACCAGGTTCCGCAAAAGTGATAATTTCAGAGGTTCTTGCGTAAAAGTCATCCATCTCGACATCAGTGCCCCGATAATCTTCGTATCCACTTTCTCTAAAACTCTCGGTGGATGTCACGCCCTCGGTCATCGACTCCTCGGCCTGGTTGACATTCCTATTATAGGAGTATTCGTCACTGGCATAAAAAAATTGTCCATACTCATCAATGTTATGTTGACGTTTATTATTATCGTGTAAGGTGTTCCGTATATCAGGATAGTCAGGTGACGGTTGTGCTTCAGCACGATATAATGTTTCAAGAGCAAGATGTCGTGGTACTTGTGCCAATGTTTTATTGACATCTGGACGATTTCGGAGTCCAAGTTTCGTGAGAATTTGGTGTTTGATAGCCTCAAGTCGTAAATCATCAGGGCTTGGTCCTATTTCTTTACGATGAATTGTGTGGACGTGCTGGTGCGGACATCCAGGGCACGTACGATGATGGTGGGCTGATTGACGTCCAAATGCACAATTAGGCAAGACAATCAAGCAGCTAATAAGAAGCACGAGAAGTAAAGGAAGGCTAGAAGATGAGTACGGTCCGTCGGATCTTACCAATAATTTTGGTAATAAATTATCATTAGTATTACTATTAACATTATGATTATTATTATTAATATTATTATTATTATTATTAGTAGTAGTAGTAGTAGTAGTATTAGTAGTAGTACTATTATTATTGTTATTTTTTGTGCGTCCACGAGCGAGCAGTTGGAGGTGTTCACCACCGTGTAATTCGGCGTTATCCTCCAATTGTCTTGTCCTCGACGGACGTACCTCAAGCATTTCGACGGAGAGTCACCTCCAAATTCTTCTCCGCCAGCCTCGCACCACTCTTTTATTATTGTCCACACGTTTATTTTTCCTCCAGTGGGTGTTACACTTGGTTCTACCAGCAGAAACTCTTGTTTCTTGTGTTTGCTGTTGTTGCTGCTGGTGGTAATCCTCTTCTTCAGATACTTTCTCTTTCTCTTGAATTCTAAGCTTGGACGTTGGTGTAACGCTACAGACAACAACGTTGAAGACGTTCGAGGACGACGACGGGGAGAAGGCATCATCGCCTAAACACCCCATTACCAAGGACTCACGGACTTGTGATTAGTTGTCCTGCCTTCCTGATTCCAAAATACGGCCATTCACCAGGACTAATTCCCTATTTGTTCCTAGTACTTCCAATCCAATGCTTCTTAGACCCTTTTTACGTGGGTGCTTCTTTATAATATTTTTTTAATTAATTTTTTTTTTTTTTTTTTTTTTTTTTTTTTTTTTATTGTATATTACAATAATAGTAACAGTAATAACAACAATAGCAACAACAACAACAATTAATTGCTACCGACGACTACTATACCGACAACTACTGGTTATCAAACTAAAAGGTAAAATATAAAATAGAGACTCCCAGAGCCCTTTTAAGGCCGACGAGACTTCCTAGGGCACTTTCTGTGACTTACTAAGGCTTCACTACCTGCCCTAACACCCGAACTATGCAGCATTTAAAAAAACCTATGTACTCCCGCGCCAGTTCACCGGGGAGACACCGGTGTCTATTCGCCAACAAATCTTCAATATATATTTTATTTACTGCTTATCTCAACGAGTATCACCAACACTCTGAATTAACATTCAGGTGATTCCACATGGTATGTAATTATTATTAAACACCCACCTGACAAGTAATACTTTTTAAACCACTTTAAAAAGATGTTTTTGTCTTGGCACTTTGGTGTAATTATCAATAATCAAACAACTCTTTTTTTCTCATATAAATTTTTTTATTTTTTTAAATTTTGTTTTATAAAATTTACTCACTCTCCTGTCAATAGCGTTCACTACGGAAAAAAGGATTTTCTTTCTTGGAAAACCGAAGCACGCTTCTCGGAGGCGCGCCGGACACTGAAGGGGCATCCACCACCACAATCCACCCACCCACAACGCTATAGGTTGTAAGCTAGCGTAGCGTAACTAGTGTAGCTAGTATAGCTTCGACGCTGTCTGCTTCTGCTCCTTTTTTCTCAGACAGAGTTTCTCTCCTCCTCCTCCTCCTCCTCCTCCTCCTCCTCCTCCCCCTTGAGCCCTCCTCCTTTTTCTCCTCTCTTTTTCAGGTCCTCTTTAAATATAAATTCTATCTCTTTCATTTACATTATGTATCATGTAACATGTAGGATACCACCAGACTATCTCTACCAACAACTAACTCAGCTCTCCAACGTCAGTTCACGTATATACTTCCATTACATATACGGTCAGACCTGAGTGATAAGGAAAGGGTAGAATACGCAGAGTTACAACATGTGTATCCTTTTCTAGCAACCCCTCCCGCAACTCCCGTTTTTCTTTCCCATTTTATATACTTTTGTGCTATAGCGCTTTTTAAGGGTATATGCACTCTCTGATACTCTGCTAGCCCGGCGCACGCATATCCACATCCACTATTTGGTTCCGTTGCATTTGGATGGAACAATCCTTGACACTTGCGCAGAACGTTACACCTCCAATAAAATACCTTCATGCGCCTGTAGGTGGTAAGGTAACGGTCACCACTGGACATTCCTGGTGGAAGCTGAACAGAATCAAAAATTGCCACGTGGCTTTCGCGTGTCACTGCCGGCAACCCTCATTATCATTTTATTTATGCTATTACTTGTAATACAACAACTCGGAACTCGAGGGTTGCATGTTCATTAATTATAAAATAAAAAAACATTTTTAATTAATTGCAGTGTTTAGTAATGTTAATGGTAAAAATTGTTTGGATTTTTTAGGAAAAAAAAAAAAAATTAAGCAATTAATAAAGGGTGTGGTAATGGAGGATAACACTCGGTCCTCTGAGTTGTGATAATATTTGCGGGTAAAGAGGCGGAGAAGAAGTAGGTATGTACGTATTAAGAGTAAGAAGGGAAAAATAATAACAACCGTTGTGTAGTAAAAATATTATACAGAGGATTGAATTAATATGGAAGAGTATAAGGCTAAAAGATGAGAGCGAGAGAAGTATAGTTGTAAGCATATTGATCAGAAGACGGTAGTTGGCCGAATGCCACGTGGTGATGCTGTACAAAAAGAGGCGCCGGATTCTACCAAGGTTCTATCTTAGTATCCTTACTTGATCTTTCTCTCATGTCTAGCAATAAAACAATCTTCTTTTATCGTATTTAATACTAATTTTTACGGTATTTCTCACGCTTATTTAAATAACCGTTTGTATTGGTGTTTAGAAAGTATTTTTTATCATCCCCCATTTTTGGTTGAAATTTTACGGAGTTTTAGTCGCAGGAAAGTCTGAAAAATTTTTGTAGACTATGATGAATTTTATCTTAAGAAATCAAGATGAAGCCATTGTAGAGCGCATCTTGTCTTCTTGTCGCTTAGCCATGCAGATTAAGAATGTTCTTGCGATAAAAAAAAAATAAAAATTTTTTAGATTTGTTTTATGTTAATTACTTTTTAATGAAATAAAAATAAAAAAAATCTTATAATCAATAAATATAGAAGTAAAAAGGGTTTATTTTAAATTGCTTGTGTATTAGTAAATCTACTTTATCGAAACCACTTGTGTGTTGATAAAAAGAATAAGTGTTCGATCAACAGTTGAAAAATTTTGTTTCTAATTTTTCGATTTAAAATAATAGTAATTTTTACAATTAAATTGTATAGATGGCAGTTTGAATTGGTATTTTTGTGTCTTTATATAATAAATAAAAATATCAATTAGTAGTTAGTATGATGTGATATATCAAAGAAGTCCATTTTTATTTTATTTTTTTTTTTTTTGTTATCACCGTTTTACTGTTAATTTATTTTTTAAATAAAAATAGAAAAAATGGATAATAATGACAAATTGCAGATCGTCAAAGACGCTATAAAGACGTATGTAAATTTTCCAAAAGAGGGAATAATTTATAAGTAAGTACAAGAATTAATTTTTTTTTTTTTTGTATTTTATCAATAGAACTAATATAAATCTAAATTTTAATTTTTTTTGCTGATTTTCCTACAGGGATATTTTCGGAGTGTATCAAAATGTTACAGCTATGCGTGCAATGAATGATTTGATAATTAATCATGTTAGATCTTTGGAGAAAATTGATGTAATCGTGGCTTTAGATTCACGTGGATTTCTTCTAGGACCAATTATAAGCTCTGAATTAGGCAAACCGTTTGTTCCAATTAGAAAAAAAGGGAAATTACCGGGAAATGTAAAACGTGAGAGTTACACTTTGGAGTATGGTGAGGTAAATATTTTTTTTACAATTTTTCTAATTGTATAAGTTTATTATTTATTATTTTGTTCAAATACACTATGAGTGGAAGTAAATAAATATTTATCAAGTAGAAATATTGAAAGCCAAGAGTCACAAGCTTATCAATTCCACAACTCTATGTTTGATAACTTTTCTTAAGTAAAAACGTTTACAATATTTAAATATTGTTTATTATAATCTGTTAATTATTTGTATTCTATTATAATTCTACGATAAAATTATTAGTCTTAAAAATGTTGATAAAATAGTTTTTGAAAAGTCTCTTTTAAAAGAAACTAGGTATCTCTGATTTGATTGTGAAAAGTAAAATTCAAATTAACTTGTATGTGAAGACACCTAAATTTTCATTAAAAATTCATCACCAACAATTAGCCGAATTATTTTCTTCTTTCTAATTTATTCAATACGGTTAAACAAATGTAGTCATGTCATATTTATCAAGAAATTGCTCAACTCCATTTTTGCATGCTACAAATGCAGATCATTAATTAGTTTAGTTACCTACTACTGTCAAGATTTTAAAAGCACGCGATACACTCATTTTGGATCATCACAAACAATATAATACAAAACATGAATGATAAAACAGTACCCTAATATAAAAAAAAAAATTCTATAAACAAGAAAAGAGAGTAAAAGCTATGGTTCAGTATATTTTTACAATTGAGTATGTAACAAAAAGTTCTTTGTCAAAATATCAGATATTTATGAGATAGTTTACTATCGCTTAGGATTAATATATATATATAGAAAAGAAAAAAAAAAACAAGACTATTCGAAATGGAATCAAAGTAAATTTTTCAGTCTTTCATCTTACATTTAACGCTTTTAAGTAGAATGGTCAATAAAGATTATCAAAATAAAATCATTGAGAATAGACATTAAAAAATTATTGTATTTTTTTAATTTATGTTAATTTTAAAATTAAAAAATTGAAATTTTGGAAAAAATATTAATAGAAATAATTTTAGTAGGAAAATTAAACATTAATTATATACAATTTGATATAGTATTTAAATACAGAAACCGAAAAAGTATTTGTACATGATATGGAATGAATATTTCTATCACAATATTTATATTTTAAATTTATAATAATAATTATAATATACTTTACAGGCCACGATGGAAATCCAAACAGACAGTATAAGCAGTGGCAAGAGAGTATTGATTGTTGATGATTTATTAGCAACTGGAGGTAAAACATTTATTAAATTAACGTTTTCTTTAAATTAAATTGACATTTATAAACTGAGAATATTTTTACTAACGATTGTTTAAAAACAAAATAATTCAATTTTTTTAAATGACTCGATAAAAATTAGTTTAAAATCATATGATGTTTATAAATTATTGTTGAATCAAAACTGTATAAATGAGATAAAATATTTTGTTGAAGTAAATCGTCCATAACTTTTATCAAAGTCATAAATATTTATAACAATATTTTAAAGTGATTGTTCGCTTTATAACTAAAAATGATTATCTAATTTTTATAAATATTTTTTTTGTGTTTTAGGAACTATGGCTGCTTCAATAAAATTAGTCAAAGCAATTGGCGCAGAAGTCGTTGAATGCCTTGTATTAATGGAATTAAATTCACTTAATGGACGATCGAAATTACCTGTACCTGTATTTTCATTGATTCAGTACAACTAAAAAAATGTGATAAATCTCCCAAACTTCCATTCCAACATAAATATTTTCATAATTGAAAAATTAGTACTTTATAACTTGTACTCGATTGTGGATATTTTATATATTATATCATTTTTTATTGTCTCTTTATATAAAAAATCATATCAATGATTTAAATAAATAAAATACTGAATTTATTTACCTTAAAGTTAAATGAAATATTATCAAAGACTATCTTTTACGCTTAATAATCCTCAGAAACTGTCTGATTTCCTCTTCAAGTGTATCCACATCATCTTTTAGTTCATGATACGATTTAATTTTTGATCTCGAACTAGATTTATTACTTACAGAGTGAACTCTCGTTACATCTGTACTTCCGCTTAAAAGCATTTGTCGATAGAGTTTTTGACGTTCATTAGCAACAAAAGCTTCAGATACTCGGAATTGTTCGTCGTAACACCGTCGCTGTTCTAAATAATAGCAATTAAATTAATATTTCTTAAAAAAAACTAAAAAAAAAAATATTCTTTAGTAATACCTCGTAGTCTTTGTTCTTGAATTTGTTTAATAAAACTCTCCTTTTCATCATTCAATCTTTTCTGCTCAGCTATCTCCGAAATTTGCTGTCGTTTTTTTCTTAAATTAAACTCCTCATCTTTTAAATTAATCAATTCATTCATTTTTTCTCTATCTTCAACAATAAACTTTGGATATTCTTCACATAAAAATGTTGGGTACGGTCCATCAGGTGGTAGCTTACAAAATGTATCTCTGAAATAATTAATTCAATAGTATGATTATTTCAATCACGATTGGTTCAATAGTAAATTAATAATTAACCAAAATTTCTTACTTGAGATATTGTGCAGGATGATTTCGATCCGATATCTCACCATCAATTCGTAAAGCAACTTTTATTACATCTTTAACAGAAATTTTTCCAGGTTGTCTGAAAAATTCTTCAATTCTTTCCTTTTTCATAAAGGATAAAATAGTACGTCTTGAACAAATATTGTAAGCAACAACACATATCAACAATAACGTTGGTTTTCTGAATGACAATAAATGATCCCAAAGAATGAGCCATTCATTGCCTGTTAATACTTCACTCATAGCTGTCTGAAGAAGTGGCCAAGCGTAAGTAGTCGACGTTATGTCTCTGTCATAATAAAATTTCAGTAAAACCGGATCAGTTTCAGCTAAAATATTTTCAATAATACCAAGGATATTTAAAGGCGGAAATGGATGATACTCGAACCATTTTTGACAGTAATTTAAAATAATTGTCAAGACAGCTTCATACGCAAGCAAATGATCTTTTTTAAAAACTATAATAAACGGAAAAATAAACTCTGGTATAAATAATGACTGTGAAAACATGGGACAAAATTGAACAAGCCGATCAACAGTTAATGCAAGCACAGACGTTTTAGTTCTATCTGCTAATTTATAATCATCCAACATTTTAATTGTTGAATCTGTTGGGACTTTGCTAATTATTCCGATAAAAGCTTTTTTATTACTTGGTAATTTTAAAATTGTCCTCCAAATAATCGGGCGATAACGCTCAGGATATTCTCCATATTCTTTCAAGATAGGCAAAAGTCTTTCGAGTCTTAAATTATCTTTGATGTTCCTTTCAACGTGTTTCAAGTGTTGATCAATAGTATGAGTTTTAACTTTCAAAGAAGCTGAATTAACAGTCGGTTTTATCTTCGTAACTTCCGCGGTTAGTTTCATTAATTGATCAAAGCAGCTGATGACCAATGATCCATCATACTGAATAAATCCAACCCATTGGCCATGTGGTGAAACACTTAATTTACGGACACCCTGAGCAACATGATCAGTGACTTCAATAAATGATTTCAAATTAATATCGAAAAACTTGAACGTTCCATCGTCAAACAGCACAGAAATAATTTTATTAGAGCCAGCGTCAAGTGGTAAAGGCACAATCTGAAGCCTCTTGATGCCACTGAAATGCTCCGAAAATTCAAAATTTTTAATTACCGACCATGTTTTTGTGTTGAAGATGATTATTTTATTTTTTCCTCCACAAATCAAGGCTGCTCGTCCATTCTCTGTAAAAATAATATCTTTTGTGTTATTTAAACCGTACTCAGACAGCGAAATTTTATTGACCAAGTCAAATTGCTCAAACGGCCAAACTTGCAGAGTATCATTTTCATAAATAGCTGTTATTAAACCAGTGGGTGAAAGTAATCCTTTTCGTATACCACCCTCGCCAGGTTCTAAGCGCAGCTGATGAAGTTTAGCAAATGATTTTAAATCCCATATTATCGCCTCGGATCTTGAAACAGAGAAACAATAACTTTTGAAAAAACTGATCCGTGTAGGAGGCAACTGATGTCCTTTCAATTCATAAAAATCTTCAATTGATTCCGCGTCATTGAATACTTGCTTTAATTTGACTATCTTTAAATCTGTTGATGCTAGTCCGATGATAACCTCGCACTGATCAATTGGATTAAAAGCGACGAATGTCGACTGACCGACATTGCTGAATTTTTTTACAATCCAGTCATTGTTAATTAATAAAAGAAAATGAAAATACCCGGTTAAATCAATAGCTGCAGCACGTTCTTCAGATTCATCAAAACAAAATTGAGAAAAATCTAGTCGTTGTAAACATTTTCGTTTTGGATTATCTGCTTCTAGTTTGAAAATATCTTTCCCTATTTTTGTCAACTTATTACCTTTTCCAGGCATTATTAATGCATACTATTATCTCCTAACTACTATAATTATTTATTTATTATACTATTTGATCAAACATTAGTTAATACTTTAATAATACTGACACTTTTTTTTGCCGGGTTTGTTTTTGTTTTGACAGCAGTCCACTAACCGTAAGAAAGTGACCTCTAGTGTTTAAACTTGCAGACATACTTATGCAAGGTGGTGTAGTAGCGCTTTCATACACAAAATTTTTCAAACTCCTAATTTATTTTTCATTTTCATAGAAGAATTATTACAGACAATTTTTTTTTTCATTATTTTCTTAATAGAAACGTATCCAGTATAAAATAATTATTTCCAGTAAGTATATATAGGTAGATTTTAACATTGGACAAAATTTAATGTCGGATTGTAAAATTGGGGTCATCTGAGTGATCCGAACGGAAATGTAGCCAATGTAATAATTGTAAAGAAATTCAAAAAGTAACTTGCTCTCTAACAAGTTATATACATTTAATACTTCATACATAACACTTAATGTATGTCAAATAATAGTAAATTCTATATAATAAAATACACACATTAAAACATTTAGATATCATATTTATGAAAAAAATTAAACTGTAACCCATGAAACATTACAAAAGAACGACAATTGATCTGTCTTCCAAGTCTTCTAAGTTATAAGTAAGAAATTAGTTGTCGGTAAGGTAAATTTTTTTAGGTAACTGGCGGTGAAGGAAATTTAAATTATATAATCTAAATTCAAAAACAACCTTTTTATTCTAAATAAGAATAATTATTCTTGAAAATATTTATTGTTTTTATTTATTAAAATATACAAATATTGATTACTAAAATAAAACAAAAAATCGCTTAGCTTATTTAATGGGAAATTATTTATTTGTCTTTATAAAGTAATTTATTGTTAATTATATAAAATATTAAAATCAAACAGTTTTTTATTTTTTTCAACTTAAACTATTATTTATTTATAAACTTTCTCAAAATTTATCGATATTAAAAGAACAAAAACATCTTTTTTTTTTAATTTTCTAATATTTTTGAACTTACTTATTATATCTGATATTCCTATATTTTTTTAACTTTAATCTAAATTTAAACGAATTATATTTAAATGAATAATTTTTTCTTCTTATGTTATTCTAATTACATAGATATAAAAAATAATTGTTTGTTTTATAATATTCATATGACAAGAACGTAATTATTGATAAATGTTAAGAAGGTGTATAAATAAATAATAGTTTAAGCTGAAACAAGTTAAAGAACAATTTGTTTTTAATATTTTATAGAATTAAAAAAAAATGTTATGTATGAAGTATTAAATGTATATAACTTGTTAAAGAGCAAGTTACTTTTTGAATTCCTTTACAATTATTACATTGGCTACATTTCTGTTCGGATCACTCAGATGACCCCGTAAAATTGACCCTTATTGATTTAAAAATCGAAAAAACATTCAGATATCTGCTAATTGCAGTTAAATTAAAAAAAAATAGATTTTTAAATACTAAGCCACTGAAAGATGAACTAATAAATTACAAAAGTAATTTTTTTTTTTTTCTTAATTTGTTTAAAGTCGCATAAACTACTAAGGTCATGAGCGACTACGGTAGGGGGTAAACTTTTGAGATTGGAACTCGTAATGGATAATGACAAAAGTAATTATAAAAAATAATTACAAAACTATCGACTCAAACTATTAATAATTGCACATATATTCACAATGATTGAAATAATTTAACCCCGGGTTAGATAACTGGTCCTTAATTGCATAAGCTATATGGTAATCGGAAAAAAATAGACCCGGAGAAAATTTTAAAATTATGAAAAATTCATATTATTTCACTAAAATTATTATTTATATATTTATTTGTAAAGAAAAGCCCTCGGTGATTTACAAGAATATGTTACATTTTCATGTGTAGAATGTTTAGTAATGTTTATTTACAATAAATAGCATCTGTAAAGAGAATAAGATAGATTTAAGATTTAAGAGATCTGAGAAAAGAGAAAAACAAAAAGATAAAAATTTTTAGTAATTAATAATTGATAATCATCAATTGATAGTTTATAATCAATAATTTATAATCACTATTTGTACACCTGGAATATTATTATTTCAGAATTACTCTTTTTGCTTCACTTTTTATTTTATCGGGTAATTTTTGAGTGTTTAAATATCTAAACCAACAAACGATACTGCGACACAAACGCCCCCTTGCTCGAATCTGAAGCCTCGCCGAATTCCAGGGTCAAAAGGGGGTTGTTATCAATATACAAACCGAAAATAAAAGCCAAAACAAAAACTCAATTAAATATAAATAACATACAGATAACTAAATCTAAAGAAAATAAATTCGAAAGTCAAACAGGTTATGATAAAGACAAAATAAACAATTTATTTATCAAAATCAATTAAATAAGTCAAATGGAAAAGATTACAAGTAAACAAAATACACGTGGTAACAAAGATCCGATCAAAACATCAAAACTGGTCTTTACAAAATAAGAATCCTCACACACACACACTCTCACTCGTCGTGAGCGTCAAAATCGCGAACTAACTTCCAAAAGCTGGTTCCCCGCTTCCCAGGAGACTAGCCGTCACCCCTGGGCCTAAACCTCTACCCCGAGAGCGAATGGAGAGTATCCTCTTCGCCCCCACCTACACGACGTATGATCACCTACTGGAGTTTTGACAGAAGGTCAAAAATCCAGGGAAGTCAAATCTTTGTTAAGATACGAGTTCAAAAGGTACTTACCAATGTTCAAGACGAACCAAGGTAATGTCCCTCCAGGTGTTATTGCTGGAAGAGTATTCACCACAAATAACACTCTGTCACAAGACTTGCTTTTCCGTGCCAAAATTTTGGACTTAATCATATTTTAAATTTTTACTTGGAGCGAACGAAATTCGAAATTTATCGCCATCTGTCCGGCGTCATCGAACGAGCATTTAAAAATAATTATTTATTATTTTAATCGTAACTTCGCTCATTTTCTATCCAAAATATATACATAGTTTCATTAATAATCATTTTAACGTAATTAATACTCGGTTTTACCGCAATAGTAATAGTAATTAATAATAATACTGAACGCATTAAATTAAATCAACGAAAAATCGGCCCGTCGCGTCAGTAGTCGCTGTCGCTCCCCTCCTTGTCCCGTCTTCCCGCCCTACTCCTCAGCTGTCTCTGTCCCAAAATTTGGGTCATATTATCTGCTGGTCCTCCAGAAATATCAATATCAATAGCATATTTGTTGATGACTTTGCCTATTCTTTATATCGGTACACGCGTAGAGAATCGCGTATTAGTATTATAAGCTAAGAATTATAATATCCACCCCCACAATTTGCCTGAAAAACAAGCACCCCCAGAATGATAGTTGTATTTTTTGTTAAAAAAAAAAAAATATATTATTATGATTATTATTATAATTTTCATTTTATAATAATTTTAATGAAATAATATGAATTTTTCCTAACTTCAAAATTTTTTCCGGGATTCAAGCTATATACTGGGAATTTTTTTAAGCGAAAACTCAACTTTTTTTTTACTCTTCGCTAGAAAAAGACAAACTAATAATATAAATCAGGAATATTGATTTCTGGTTTTTGAGTTCGATATATTTAAATTTGTATTTTTGTACTTTGATCAGTAAAGAATCGCCGAATTCAGAGCATGTGCGGCATTTGTTATAAAAAAATTTATCTTTTTCTTTATTTGTAAATCACATTTTATTGCAAAATATTTCTTATTATTTATATTTATTTTTATTTACTATTTACAATAATTTATAACTTAAAATGAATCACTATTCTCATATTTCTAATTTATTTTGGCCAATAGTGACAAAATTTTGTACAGTGAAGTTATTATGGATATTTTTATTTATAGTGGTGACAATAACAGTATCTCTTATGGTTATGGTAAAATATTTTGTTCTTCCTATAATTTGAATTCCATATTAATAACTTAATTATTTTTATACAGTATCAAGGTCAGAAGAATGAATTGAAACGATACGTAAGTAACTTTTTCATGTATTTATTTGATAACAAAAATAGTAAACCTTCACTAGAAACAGTAAATAATATTCAAATGGTATGATTTAAAGAACTAACTAAATTTAATTTTTCCAATGATCCAAGTTCGTATTATTTCATTCTATGAAATTTTCTGAACACTTTTTCTATAAAAATACCAACTAGATATTTTCAACTAAAAAAAATTCTGCAGTTGTAGTCTTCTCCATGTTTTTTTCTTCTAAGTTAAAATTTATTCAGGACGAATTCACTTGTGACAAATATTATTTATACAATTACTTATATTTTTTTTTCTATTATAGATTCTTGGTACAAAATCTGCTCTTGACATTAGCATTAATAAAGTAAATTACTTTTTATATTTAATATAATTCTAAAAATTTTATAATTATTTATCTTATAATTTTTTTTCTTTTAATACACCACTTAGGTTCATAAAAATTTCGAAGTACTATCTGAAGATTTATCAGAAAAAAAAGATACTGTACGTAATAATTATCTTAAAATACTCATTTTTAATTCAATAAGCTACAAAATTGTTAAATTGTAGATAAACAAATCTCGGAATGAAATTAAATGTGCTGAAGAAATATTAGATTTTATAGAATCCAAAAAAATAACGTCCGTAGCCTGTTACAAAAATTTGCTAGGCGATTTAAAAAAAGATTTACTAAAAATTGAAAGCGAGGTCAGTTTTACTCTTCGTACACAGTAAATTAAATAATAAATGAATAAATAATTGAGGATTCTAATAATATTAAAATTTACAATATTGCAGGTAAAAGAATTGCAAAATGAAATAACAGAATTGTCGAAAAGACGCGATGATTTAAAACATGATATTTTACAAGTAAATATAAAAAAATACATACATTACAAAAGTATAAAATACTTAATATAAAAATTATTCTAGCAGCAAGAGAAACCCTACATTTGTACCAAAGAACTGGACTTCAATGTGATATCAAATCAAAAACAGCTTTGATGATTATAAATTAAAAATACTAATTAATGAAAAATTAAAAGTTTTTGAAAATGTATTTGCTAAGAGAATTTTTTTAGCAAATACATTATTGTAAAACAAAATTTAAAAAAAAAAGTACTAAAGGCAAAAATTTTAGAAAACTATGAATGCAATTTTTTTTATAATTTTTTCTTAATATTAATTTATTTTTTTAAATCAAAAAATTGTCAGTTATCTCCCTATTTAAAAACTTTCATTGAAAAAAATTAAAAAAAGTCGCTCTACGCAAATTATATATTTGTAGATATATACTGAGAGATTGAAATTATTAAAAAAAAATCAAATCTCATGATAGTCATGATAGTGAATTTTGTTCAATGAATATTTTTATCAACAGGGATGCTGATTTTAATATCACTTTTAACATTACCCTCTGGCAATTCTGTGCAGGATTTTTCAGACTCATCAATTGAAGTCGACTCTTAGTCCATTAGATCCAATGAATTTCCATTTATACTCACTAAAAATAAAAACATTATTTAGTAAATTTAAAAATAAAAAAAAATAATATTTAAAATTATTTGCTTACATTTTGATGATGAATTAATTTTTTCATTAATCTAATTTTCAAATAATAAAACTCTGAATATTATTGATTTATTTTTGTTGAATCGATTCATTTAGATTTTAACAAAATAAAAACAAAATTATACCTAGCATAGATATTTTCGAAAAAATAATAACAATATCAATAACAAACTAAAAAGCGTGTAACAAACATTGGACTATGTGTAAATAGATTTAAAAATGGCGTTTAAAACTGGAACAGCTGATAAAGTTTTGTAATCATCAGTCATCAGCTGATGGTTTATATTTAAAAAAGGCTTGGAGGTCACGCTCTGAAGCATTTCTTCGAAGGTATCCAATAGTAGATATTGTTAACTTAATTTATTAAAGCGATTTTTGGTAAAACAAAACAACAATGAATACTGTTATGAAGTCATTTAAAGATACATTATTGAACGCTAAAAATATTTTGATTCTTACGGGAAGTGGAATATCTGCTGAATCCGGTGTGCCAACTTTTCGTGGTGCTGGTGGCTTTTGGCGTTCATATCAAGTTACTTATTTGGCTACACCAAGAGCTTTTAGGGATAATCCATCGCTTGTTTGGGAATTTTATGAATACAGACGTGCTTTAGCAACTAAAGTCCAGCCAAATAAGGTATTTATTATATTTTATCACTTAATTTATCTTCCTATTTTTTTCATAATATTGTTTTTCATGTTATTCAGGCTCATGATACGATCGCTAACTTTGAAAAAAAGCTCACAAGTCAAGGAAAACATGTGACTGTTGTAACACAAAATGTTGATGGGCTCCATCAACGTGCTGGAACTAAAAATATCGTGGAACTCCATGGCTCATTGTTTAAAACACAATGCACTGAGTGCGGTAATGTTGAAGTCAATAATACAGTTCCTATTTGTCCTGCTTTAGCAAGAGCCAGGTAAGATATCTTTTTATTATAGAAAATATAAATAGCATGAGTAATTAATTTTTTTAAAAAAACTTCAGAATTATTGGATGCTTTTTTTGTAATAAATATATACGATACTTGAAATAGAAGATATTTAATAGTATTATTATTTTTTATTAACTAGAATGGATATTAATGATATTAAAATTGAGACATCTGACAATTTTTAGAAATTTTTTAACAATTAAATTTTTTTTTTTTTTTTTTTTTTTTTTTATTTATGATTTAATGCCAAGGCAATGGCCAAACGGCAAAGTATACAAAAATATTATTATATTGTTTTACAATTTCATTTAGAATATTTTTCTGAGAGTGGATTAATATTAAAATAATTGAAAAATGAAGACTTTAGTATGTAATATACTCAACAAATCTTTGCAAGAATAGATTTATGTAGATAGACAAAATAATTTAATTTGTATATATGATTAATTAGCTGTTTTAGACTTATAGCAGGTAGATTCCTTGATTGTAAACACAAAAGAAGGTAGTTTTTTAGCAAGTAAGTTGATCCAAAAATTAAACTAAGCTAGGTAAATTTGTGAGACGTTCATGGTTGGCCTTCTCGTTCCTTGTGAAGAAAAAATTCATAGGAATTGGTCTTGAAAGTATCAATTATAGCAAAAAAAATTTATTTAAAAAATTCTATCTTTAGAAACTTTAAAAAATTATAAGTCCAATTTCTTATAAATTTTTTTCTAGACCTAGTTTATTATTCAAAAAATTTTCAAGTGTCTGCCAATTTAAATTTCATTGGATATTAATGAAACAAATTATAAAGAGAACGTTGAGAGTAAATGTTGAGAGCTACAAAATTTTCTTGTGTGTATTTTGACAAGAAAAAAAAATGTAACAATCTCTAAATGATCCATAAAATTATAATAATTTTCAGATAACTGCTATTATCAATACCATTAATTTTTTAATTATTTTATTTTGAATTTTACCTGCTGAAGAAAAATATAATCGCTAATATATTTAAAAATATAATTTTAGTTTACCCGAGCCTGATGATATGGCGTCTGATATACCAGTCGAAGATTTACCGCACTGTCAGAAAAATGATTGTAGAGGGTTACTGAGACCATTTATTGTGTGGTTTGGTGAAAATCTCGATGAAGATCTTCTGAATAAAACTGGTTTGTTTTATTATTCATTCATTCTTAAAAAAAAAAATATTTTATAAGTTCCTAAAATTTAATTTTGATAAAACTTTTCCATAATATATCTTAATACGTTGTGCAAATTCTAAAAATAATTTTGATTTAAAGTTTCTTGGCATCATGATAACTTGCGTAATTCTTGACAAATCAAACTTAATTTCTATTTAAATTTAAATGGACTTATTTAATTTAAATTAACTATAGTTGTTTAAATTATTTTTTCTTCAGTAAAGAAAAAGTATTTTGATTATCTTTATTTTTTATTTTTCACTGAAAATATTTAAGCTTTAAACCTTAAATTTGTAATCTATTTTACATCTTTCTTTTTTTCATAATTTAATTATATTAAATTTCTACACATTAATTAAGTTCATGATGTATTTATTTATTAATATCTTTTGATTTTAGAGGCTGCTGTTGAAAGCTGTGATGTATGTTTGATAATTGGAACTTCATCACTTATTTATCCAGCTGCTATGTTTGCACCGAGAGTCGCTGAGCGCGGTATCACTGTTGCTGAATTTAACTTGGAAGAAACTGCAGCAACAAAAAGTTTCCAGTAATTGATTGAAATTATTTAATTTCTGAAAAGTTTATTTGAAAATTATAATAAATACATCATTTTATTGCAGATACCATTTTCAAGGTCCATGTACTGTGACAGTAACTGAAGCATTGGATATTTGAAAAAATAAGTTTATTTTTAATCAAAGAAATAATAATAATACATTGTTTTGAATAGCTATTTATCTAACTGTATTTATTTCATACTAAATTGTGTGATGTCTTTGTAAAAAAAAAAAAAAAAAAAAAAAGAAAGAAAAGGCAAAAATTTTCATACATTAAAACATTATTTAAACATCCCAATTATAGATTATATGTTATATTCAATAATAATAAAAACTTTCATTAACATACTCTTGAAGTAAAATCACGTTTTATTCTTGATTTCTTCACTTTGTTTTAATTTTTTTCTTTTGATGCTCATTGAAACATAAATTTATCACAGAGTTAGAAATGGTCAAGAAATTGCGACAAAAATAATTCGCGTATCTTACTTGCTTATTTTATTATTACTATTAATATTATTCTTATTATTATTATTAAATATTTACTTCACAATCTTCATTTTTCGTATCTTAACCCGTGGAATTATTTTTTATCTTAAAATTACAAGTTGAAAAAAAAAAAATTTTTGCAATTTGTTCATTTTAAGATTGCAAATAAATAATTTATTGCACATACAAACTTTTTAAAAAGCTCAAAAAAAAAAAAAACAGTAATTATTACTAGATTTAAAATCCTAACAGCTTTGGTTTGGCAAAGTTATATTAACTATCGCTTTTTATAATATTAGGAAAAAAAAATTAGGATTAGAAAATGGTCAAGTTATTAGGATAACGTTACTAAATTCGTCATTATTGTTGTTAAATTTGGTGCTACGGAAGACGTTTCTAATATATTAATCATAGTAGTCGAAACATTTGTAGTAGTCGTATTAGTAAGACAATATGGCATTATTTGACCATGTTTACAGGAATCAGCTGAATTGTTGTGGAAAATTAGAAGGTATAAACCTGCAATAGCAGTAAAAGTACCTGCTATAAGTAATCCAATAGCAGGTATTTTTTTAGAAGACAGTAGTGGGCCTTCTTCAAGTCTTAAGTAACACAAGGCCGGTAGTATATAAGCTAATGGTACTGCTGCAAGAATTCCGTTGAGTTCAAGTACAACTCCAAGACAATCTTCAGACATTGATATTAAATAAGCTAAAGTTACTATTCCCATTGTTATTATAAGGTAACGTCGATCTGAGCCAGCAATGTATACATCATGATTCTCTGTTTCAGTAGTGCCCTTTATAGCCGTCAAGATGACCTATTTTTAATAAAACAAATCGCATTAATTTAACATAGCCCAGTAATAATAAGTACTATAAATAAAAAATATTTAGTTACTTCACGAGTTACGAAGCATTCTATAGGAAATGTGAGTAAAATTGTTCCGCTAAACATAACTCGTGATAAGTTCATAAGGTCATCATTCCAACAATAATTTTCCATAAGATCTCCTTGAACATAGCTCGTAAATGTGACATATCCCGCAATTCCAAACGCTGAAGCAATGATAAAAGATGTAAATAAAGACCAGTGTGTGACGACGTCCCACTTCTGTTGGGTAGCTCGTTCTATTGATTCGTAAATAAGGAATGTATTATGATGACACATAAATGCAAATGCCATTATTCCAATTGATGGTAATATTCCTCTTAAATTTGCAAATTCCCAGCTGTCTGTTCTATCCGGTCTGAGTTAAATAAACATTTTTTTTTTTAATTTAATTTTATTTTATATATTGAATAAATACTTACACGAGAGATGACATGGTACCCATTCGAATAAAAATTGCCAATAGAATAAAAGCAACACATACAAGAGAGAGAAATGAAATTTTAGCTAGTCGCGCTACATTTCTATAGAGACACAGTGGTATTGTTATCAATAAAGTTGCTAATAATATTACAACTTCTCTTTGTGCAAATATATTACTCTCAGCAATTCCAGTAACTCTTATTATTACCTTTGTTACAGTGTCTCCGACAACAATATTGTAAGAAATCATTGCTGTGAAAACAATGAATGAAGATTTTAGTAATAAAATATTATGGTATTTATCATTTCTATAAATAAAATTATTTTAATTTACCTATAAATGGGTAAATAAATTGTAGAGCAGTTAAGATATAAAATCCAGGCCGTCCAAAACTTGCTCTCATTAATCCTTGATAGCTCATTTCTCCACAAAGATGACCACTTCTGACCATTAAAATTAGAGAATAATCAGTCAGAACTGCTACAATAATTAGCAGTAAAATTCCTAAACCAAATCCTGATAGATGCAATGCATATGGAATTCCTGAAACGTAAATTTATAATGTTAAAAAATAATTTATTTTAATCAATCTTAATAATTATCTACTTTTGTGGTCATCCATTTTTTTATCCTAAAATTTAAAGACAAATACCAAAATTTTTCAACATTTTTTATTTAAATTTATGATTTGTATTTTAACATAGCATTATATATAAAAAAATTAATCAGTTAGTTCTTTAACCACGAAAGTAAATAAATATCAAATTTTATTTCAATAAATTAACACTCACCAATGACTCCGCTGCCAATAATAGAATTAATGAAATTGAAACTTGCCAGTGGAAGACTTGTAAATTTTCCTGAGTTCTCTTCTTCATCTTCCTAAAACGCAATCAATACTACAATTATTCATGTAGGAAATACAATAAAATATAAGTAATGAAAAAATTTAATCTATTTAAGCTTCATATTATTATTCAGCTCTCGCTTTATCTTTCGCTCTTGCTACCATAATTAATGCACATAATTTAAATAAATTTAGTACTATTTATATCTACTAAAATTATTAAAATATTCTAAACAACATTTGCTGTAAATTAATAAATAATATTATTTGTGGTTACAGTTATGTTACATTTATAAGAGTGCAGCTTAAACATTCACGTGTTAAATATAAAATTATTCAAAATTTCACATTAAAACAAGCATTAAGAAAATTTATTTCACTTTTCATGTTATTTTTTCAAATAATAATTTAATTTTGTTTTAATTTAAATGATCATTTTTTACATGAACAAAAATGATTTAAGATAAAGAATTTAAAAAATGATGAAAAGTTAAGAAATTTTCTTAATTAAGAAATAAATGAAATGTTATTAATGGTGAAAAATTTTAAATAAAAAAAAAAAAAAAAAAAAAAAAATAAGCTGATGCTTTTCTTACCAATATATTACAAAGAAACAATCCACATTGTTAACAATAATAGATGTTATGATTTTATTTTTTTTATAACAGCTGAGCACAAATAAACAAAGTGATGAATATCGGCGAGAGTGGTTGATGATGATTATTCAGTCGATGGATTTTTTAGATGACAGAAGTATCCAATAGACGAAGTGAACAATGACAAATAGATTCACGTACAATAAGATATTTAAACAATAATAAATAAGAAAAAACATGTATACTGGTGCAGAATCAAATAGTAAAAGAAATTTTATTGATTTAATGACATAACGAATTTGAAAAAATGTATGACGCGTAGAGACAACAATTGCTTTTTTGTTATTTCATCCTTACCCTTACAAGTTGTCTCAAATCGTCGTAAGAATCATCCGTTTCTAAGCTGCCTCCCTGCCAAATTTATCCGATTTTGTGCATCAGCAAGAAAAGTAGGAATAAAAATAAAAAAAGTACCAAGGAAAAACGAATAACATATAGTGATATTTAATATACTGTGTTAAGTCGTAACTTGTGGAATAATTTCACAAAGTTTCCTATATAATTGAAAGATTGTGCGTTAATTAGATATACAGTAATTAAACGATATACTTAAAATTAATTGCATAGAGAAAATGTTTCTTTCTTAAATGATATAACAATAATTAATCATCTTATTTATTAATTCATTTAGTAAAATATTTAAATGTATAAATTTATTATCAAATAAGTGAATGCGTACTTATGGAATAATTTTAATCGTTAATTACTTTAGAGTAAAGAAGATTGTGATTTTATAAGAAATAAGAACATAAATATTCATTACACTATCTGTCTGGGAAATGAACTCTGAGACAGCATATGTTTATGAAAGCATTACATCACAATCCAATAATCATTATTTATTTGTTTTAATGTATGAACAGATCAATTTTCATTGAGATATTTATTAACTAAAACAAACTTTTATAATTATTTTTTTTACATAATCTTCATTACTCAGTAGTTACTATTTACTATGTCATCAAAAATCGAGTTGTAGAATAATATAGCTTGATATTTTTTCTTTTATAAAAATTATTCACATATTGCGTTAAAAATAGCAAGCATCTAAAAATTTTTTTTTGTTTAAAAAAACAAATATAAATAAGAAAAAAAAAATAATTGTATTTTTCTTTATTTTTAGTTTGTAATTATCTAATTTATTTATTTATAATGAGAAAATATGTTCGGATATTTTTAAATTTCCAGATCATCAAAAAATAATTTTATAAAGAAATTTTGAAAATTATCAAAATTAATAGACATTATGAAAACTGTATTGACAATAATTTCCTTAGTATTTATCATACTTTTGTATGTAGAATAATAAATTTGTTTAGTTTATATAGATTAATCTAGTTTTAAGACTCTATTTCACTGTAAATATTGTATTGTCTTATATTTGCCATTTGACTGTTGTGCCTTGGCATAAATTAATAAATCTAATCTAAATATAATCTAATTTAACAATTTTTGTAATTTTTTTTAAAATAAAATCATTATAAGAAGAAAAAAAAAGTTCCACTTATAGAAATTAAAAAAAAAAAATTATGCATGCAATTTTTTAATAAAAATACATTCTTAGGGCAAATCTATTCGTTAAAAAAAAAAAAAACCGAAAAATAGCCAGATGTCTATTGCATATTCAATGTCATAAACTCATAACTAAAAAAAATTGAATTTTTCTACTTTATAACTTTATTTTTTTACGTCGGAGAAATTTATTCAAAATTTGACTAAGATTGATACGAGAGTAATTCATGAGCTTAAAAATGAAAAAATTTCTAGATGTTTGCTACTTTACATTTGACACAAAAAACACTCATTAGTGCTTTCTTATCTAAAATAATTATAATCATCCTTTATTTATCAACTAACAAAATGAACAATGAAATTTTAACAGTGTACTCACGTCTTCGAAATTTTTCCTCGCATCTAAGATGTAACTTTTTTCGTTAACACTTTGCTGCTGAGAAGTTCCTTGTGCCATATCTGAATCTCGATAATAACAAATAAATTTTGAATACTTAATCCAGTTAAATCGAATAATTAAATACTGAAATAATCAAATAAAGAAAAATTATATTATAGCGAAATTTGATATAAAAAATAGCCGATAAAAATTCATGAAATAAAAAATAATTTTATCAAATTTTAGATAAATTAAAAGATCAATATCTAATTTATAAGATAAGTTGCGTATCGCCGAGCTGCAGTTTGAAACTATCGTGCTTACTTTTTATAACAACACAGATGTCAGAGAATTGTTTGATCTTCTGTTTATTGATTACTAACGTCGCCTTGAGAGATGTTTTTTACTCATTTATGTATCACTTACGAAAAATATGTTCAAGTATTATATTTCATTACAACTGCGCAATGCGCGGGTGTTAGTCTTCCTTACCGTCAACAAAAAAGAACGGAAATTCAAGAAATTTATATACATATAGGTATTAGAGCGGTTGATAGTTCATTTTTAAACATATATGTTTTGCTCATGTATAAGATAAAATTTCGACAAAAGCACTTCATTCTTCGATAGATAATTTATTTTCATTTATTTATGCATGTAATGCGTTTTATAAGATTCTATTTGTTGTAAAAGTGTAACAGAGATACTTCCGTTTGTCCAATCTTTATTGGACGAGAGAGAAAAAAAGTGTAAAACACCCTTCTTAAGTAAATTAAATAAATAAATAAAACATTATAATTTAGTGTTGGTTTTAAGTAGTAAAAATTACGAACGAAAATAATTGATTTAAATGTTATCAGCAATAAATATGACACGGAACAAATTACCTCCACTTTGGTATATAACATTAGACTGTTACCTTGTGGACAAGAGGACGAATTATAAAAATTACAGAGTAAAGATATGGTTTTTCCTATTTTTTTTCATAAAATCAAAAATTCTTAACACACGAACGAGTGGAACTATAGCCTCGGCTTCACCAAAAATAATTATTTTTCAGAACCAGATTAATATAAAAAAAAAAAAACAGTGAGTTAAAACTTGTGCGTTCCGCAACCTGCGGTTTTTCTTGTTCAAATGATTTTTATTTTTATTATTCAAAAATGTATGGCTTTTTTAATATCTGTTTGTTTAACCAATCACTCATGTATTTTTAATGTACGACTTTTATTATTTCTAATAAACAAACATTTAAACAAAAAAAAAAAAAAAAAGGACGGATTATAATCAAGCGGGATCAATTCAAATATTTACAATTATCAGGACAGTTATTATAAAATTGGGCTTTGGAGTTCGAAAACGGACAAAAGTTGTATTTCTGGGTTTGAAGAGCTCAAAATTTCAAAAAATCAGTCCTTATCGTCGAGGATTGGGATGGTTAACGGTAAAATATCGCCGGTTCTATTTTGTAGTCTGTTTCTTTTATAAACTTTTAGAACATGGAAAACCTGAGTATCTGCGTGATCTGTTTGTAGAAGAATCAGATGTTCGACGGTCTGATAGGCTTGCTGCTAAGAGACACACATTTTTCAAAATACCAAATTTTACCACATCTTACTTCGAGAAATCCTACATTGTAACTCGTAACAGTGATCAAGCTTTGGGAAGAATTACCGAGTGATATTGTAAATTCTAGTAGTTTTTAGAAGTCTTCAAAAGTAAAGTGTTTGACTATTTCTTAAATGTAGATAATTAGTTTGAACTTTTTCTGCTCAAGGTTGAGCCTCTTTACTTATTTAATTATTATTAATTACTATATTAATATTATTAGTTGAATCAAAATGAATATAAATCAAATCAAATCAAGTCAGATCTTCACACTGTATTTCTTCGTTGATATCTTTTAGCTTTTCTTTTTACATTATCTTTCACTTTAAATGCATTTTTAATTTTTATTATATCATCAAAAGCAAAAAATCTACTTCTCTATCAATATATTATTTATTTATTTATTTATTTATTTATTAGAATAGACGCCAATCGGCAATGTACATAGATTATTTAATACTTAAGATTATTATTAATGATTTGATGGCTATTGAATTTGTAATAATAATAATTATTGAAATTATTATAATAACAATAACAATAAGTGCTAGCTGGTTGATATTAAATTCTTGACTTATTATATATTCATATATTATGTACTCACATTTATAACCTCATATATTTAATCATATGTAATATATCTGTATTTGAAATTGCCATTTGGCCTGTGCTTTGGCATAAAGTAAACAAAATCTAAAATTTCATCATAGGTAAATTTTCAAGCGTTTTGAGCTTAATTGTTACAAGAAGTTTCAGGAATAGCTTGCAAGATCAAGCGTTTTTTATGAATATATTTTTTTTTTATATTTCAGATATAAAAATATTCCATGTGATAGCTAAAATTTCATCTCTAAGCTATCTTTATTTCGAATTTGAAATATTTTCAAATTTTCCCACCATTTATTATACATTTTCAACATTGTCCTTACCATCTACGAATAAGAACGAAAATTTGGTTGCTACTTTTAATAATCAATTCCTGCCATCTATCTTTCAATTTGTCAACTTTTAATCGATTATTCTCATTATTTATTTTGGACGTCAATCATCAATTTTATTTTATTTTTTTTTCTGGACATTGATGATATACATTCCAAAAAAAATTCTACATATGAATCGGCTGAAAGATATGTATTTTATTTAAATAATTTGTGTATCAATTAATGTATAATTGTAAATATGTGTAATTTAGAAAAATGAATAGCTTAGGATTGAATTTAATTTTAAAAATGGGCTGTCTTTGCTCAAAAGAAACAATTGCTGTTAACGATAAGAAATATCGTGTTTTAGAACATCTTGCTGATGGGTAATTACATTTCTTAATCATTTGATTTTAATTTCTTACCTAGTTATAGAATAATTAGATTTGAATTTTTAATTTTAGCCTTAAAATATTTTATTTATGACCACTACGTTAATGACTGTTTTTGTTTTTGTTTTTTCAGAGGTTTCAGTTCCGTTTATTTAGTAGAGGATTCTATGACTCGTAAAAAATATGCATTAAAGAAAATAATATGTCATAGTTCTGAAGATCAGCAAATAGCTGCTAAAGAAATTGAATATCATACAATATTGAAGCATGTAAATATTATTGAATGCATTGATTCAACGTCCAAGGGAGCTGCCGATCCCGTTATTAATGCAACAAGTCAAGTTCTACTTGTTTTGCCGTATTATCATGTAATATTTTTTTTTTCTTCTTCACATTTACAATTCTCATTAAGCCTAACCAAATGTAAAACTACCCAGTGTAAGTCTGTCTCATGTTATCTGTCAAATGAAAAGAATTATCTTCATCATAAACTAATTAATGCTATCTAAATAGAAAGTTGAAATTCAAAATTAGGCTGACAAAATATGACAAATTTTTTCCTTTTAAGTCTGATATACAAATAATATAATTCAATGATAGAAATTGTTCTAATAAATTGAAAATTTGATAACTATACTGCAGCAGATCTTGGCTGATTAGAGTTTTACTTTGGTAAAGTCGCTTACGGCATTATTGAAAATGTATTACTAATTAAGTAAATTATAAAATAATTAAATATTTTTAGAAAGGAACGCTAGCTTATGAACTAGAAAAAAGAGCGAAGACAAATAATTATTTCAGCCCACTAGATGTATTACTTATTTTTCAACAAATATGTGAAGGTGTAAAAGTATTTCATGATATCAAACCAGAACCTCTTGCCCATCGAGATTTAAAGACTGCTAATATTTTACTCGATGATGCATTAAATCCTATTATTATGGATTTAGGTAACTAAAAATTTTATTAAATGACTATCATTTTTTTTATAAAATATTTAAACTATACAAATTTTTTCATTCAGGATCGGTTGCCCAAGCCAGAGTTAAAGTGTGTGGTACTCAAGAGGCTCAAACTTTACAAGATATCGCTGCCGAACGATGTTCAATGCCGTACAGAGCGCCAGAATTATTCAATGTTGAGAGTTATTGTATGATTGATGAGCGTACGGATATTTGGGTAATTTTTCTTATTGTTTAAAAAGAATATTTGGTAAATATTTACAAGTGGGGTCAACCATTTTAATTTTAATTTTTTTAAACGAAATTTCTATTTGATTTTATTGATATATTTTTTTTTTTTGAAAAATACATAAAAAAATGAACAATTAAAAAAAAAAAAACAAGTGGATTACCACAATTTTAACAAATTTTCAAAAAAATTAATAAATTTTTTTCTTTTTATTAATTGTTCGTTTTTTATGTACTTTAAAAAAAAAAAAATACATTAAAAAAATTAAGAAAAAATAAAATAGAAATTTGATCCAAAAACATGAGAGCCAAAATTTTTTCCAACTTTTAAAGGCAAAAAAGCTATCGAAATCTTCATTTTTTCCTTTTACGATATTTGTTATCATAAATCCGCCGTAAAAATAAGCAGAATAAAAAAGAATAATGAAAAAATGTTAATTTTTCACCTAGATACGGCCAAAAATAGGTTTGACCCCACTTGTAAATAATTACCAAATATTTTCTTCTACTTTTCAAGTAAAAAATCATTTAAAGTACATTGGTATGTGATACTCCAATAATTTTTTGATTGCTTCAAATTTGTTCTGCACATTTTTTTTTGTATAAATTTCTAACTCAAATTATACAGCTTATTATAAGATTCTTAGATATATAAATTAGTTTGAAATATATCACGTTATAAATTTCACGAGGATATGAATAGTTATGATTGTCAAAATCTGTACGAATTCAATTTATTCTCATGATATATGTAACACTATACAATTGATTCTGAGCACCTAATTATAATATTTCTTTATTTATTATTTATGAAAGAAAATTTTTTAATTTTTTGCGATTATTCAGTTTACTTTTAAATTATTTCGAAAGATTTTTTACTTGCTAAACCAATAAATTAAAAATATTTGGAGAAAAAATCGTATTCTTAATAAAAATTAAAAACTTATATGTTATTATAATTAAATAATAAAATTTTTAAAAATAGAATACAAGTATCAAATAATGATTTATAATTTCAGTCACTTGGATGTATTCTGTATGCTTTATGTTACTTCAAGAGCCCATTTGAAGCAGTTTATGAAAAAGGCGACAGTGTCGCTCTTGCTGTGATAAGCTGTAATATAACTTTTCCGGAAAATGCACCGTATAATGAGGTAATAATAAACTACTTTTTAATTTATTTCAAATAAAATTAATTGAGGTAATTTTTTTTGTACCAGGATATTCAAAATTTAATTCAATCAATGTTAAAAACAAATCCAATGGAGAGACCATACATTTATAGTGTGTTAGAAAATGTTCACGACGTTATCACTAAGATAGAAGGACGTATTTGAAATGAAACAATAATAATTATTGTTAATAAGTATTTTTTATCAAAAAATATTGCATTTTTAATTATTAATAATATTAATTAATATCTCTTAATTGAATTATAAGTTAATGTATTTTTAATTTTTGATTTCTATTGCAATACAGTTAAATTTTTTAATTTACTAAAAATAAAAATAAACTTAACAATACGTATTTAACATTGAGAACGTAAAATAAATTTTTTCTACAATGATTGTTCAGTTTTGACAAATTTTTTTCATAAAAATTGTGGATAAACATCGAAATTATTAGGAAATTTATACGTAAAATATTTCAATAAAATAAAACTTACTGTTAAAATATATTTATAATATTATACTATGTGTCTTTTACTGTTAAACAAATAAATATTTTCATCACTAATAAAAAAAAAAAAAAAAAAATTAAATTAAAAACATATGTTAATCATTTTAAAGCCATAAAATTTTAAAATAATTTCGGTATTAATTTGAAACGGATACAAATATATTTTCCTGTTTCACACGTTCTGTGTAGAGAAAGAAAAAAGGTATTCAATAGAAAATATTCTATTAGATCTTATATTTTTTTAAACTACAAGTTGGGGTGGGTATCGTACGATATGACGTATTAATAATTTCCATGATCTCCAACGTCAGCAACAAGAATAATTTTCTGAACATCAACATCAATAAAATTAAAAGCGTTACATCCAAATTTACCTCCGAAAACAGTTAAGGTGGTAATAAAATGCAATTATTTATTTTTATTTCAATGAATAATTATTTGTAATTTAAGATTCGTGATTAAATCAGCTAGTAATTTTCTAGGGACTTTTACGAAAGATTCTAGTTCTCAATATAAAAAGCGTGTAAACTTGAGAGACAAGTTGGACTAAGAATTAGTCACTTCCACGCGTGCGTTCGGTTCGGACGTACAGTAAATAAATTTTATTACAAAAACTAAATAACCTTTAAGCATCGAATTTTAATTAATTTATCGTTTGTAAATTTAATCGGACCTAATTACTACCAAATTTTCGCTCATCGGTGGAAGTTTTTATAAACGCGTGGTAAATAATTTTTTTATTTTTTTATTATATTACTATTATTATTATTACTTTACATATACATATATCGAGGCCTTAAAGTGCCGATAGACATAATCTATTATTGAGGTTAGCAATTATACATACATTTTTTTTTAATCAACAAAAGTGAGCTATAAATTGGCTTTCTTACAATCATAATTGAATAAATTTACTAATTATTTTTTGTCACTCTAGTTTGTGATTACAAATTGAAAAAAATTGATTCCTTAGTGAGATAATTTGTTCTATTGATTTTAAAAGATTTCAAGATAAGACACAAATATATTTTTGTATAGTTTAATAATGATATTTTATTTTAATTTAACAATTTTTTCATTGCTAGATTATACAAATTAAATTTACTTTAATTGTGACAATTTTTAATTTTAAGCTATTGTAAAATTACAATGTATTGAATTATTTATTAAAACTATTTTTAATCCTCAAAATGAATAAACGATACTATTCATATGTTAACTATATTTTATATTTGTTACAGAAAAAAATACAAGTAAAAAACCGAAAAAAATATTCCGTCACTTTAGCAAGCGCTGGTAAATTTAAATTATAAATTTTAATGAAAGTCATTTAGTGACGCGATTAGATTTCAAATTATGCCCTTATAAAAATTAACTGGATTACTGAGACGTCATTTTTTATTTTTTTCTATGCATAGTTTTTTTTAATTAAGAAACCAGCAGTAAATAGGTAATAATATGTGTAATGACAATTTAAACTAAGCTTAATTAATAAGTGACATTAAATCATATCGTCATGATCTTGACCTCTTCATTTTTATTGCTGATTAAATTATTGTCAATAAAAAAAAAAAAAATACGGAAGTACTTTTCAAGCACTCTTAAATCTTGGATGATGTAACAATAATTTTTATAAGAGATAATTTACAAAATATCTTAATTTTAATATAAACTTTATTTTATAAAATTGTGATAATTGCCAAAAAAAATAACTAACTCATGAATATTTATTGCAACGATAACGAATTTTCTATTTTTAAAATTCCGAATTATTGATTAGCCCAAGTCTTATCACCACGTGGTCGTTTCATCCATCGCGTCATAAAGAAGTGAATAAAAAATAGTTTAATAAAATTTATGAATCGCGTGATGTATTGCGACATGATTTTTAATTTTATATCTTTTTAATCCAAGTTTTTTTTTTTTTTACTCATTATTTATCATAAGATTTTTTGAGTAAATGCTTTGATAGCCTAATTTCTCACTTATAAATCATAAACTTTTTAAGTATACAACTGTAAAAAAAAAAAAAAAATTTAATACTTGTTATCGAAATTTAACAAAATTTTATGATTTTTAATGAGAGAAAGTTTTTATATTTACAGTTAGGCGTGTAAAAGTTGAAATGTGACAAGTGAAAGTGACACATATCACCATATGTTTTATTATCGAGTTAGGACGTTCAGAGCTGTTTTATTTAAAAGAAAAATTAATTAGAGTTGACAATCATTTTTTTTGGAAAGTCAAAGGTTTTAAGAGTTCAAAACTTTAATATTTGATAAAAACTTAACTTTAAAAATCTAACTAAGAATATTAAATATTAAATAAGTATTCTTATAAATCCTAAATTTTCATATATAATTTAGTTAAAAAAAAAATTAAAATCAACAATTTTCGTATAAATATAATTATTTGGCAATATTTACGGGTTAAATTTAAATAAATTTGATTAAATCAATATTTCACTGACTTCATAATTATAAAAATTGAAAATCCATTAAAAAAATTTCGATAATTTTTTTTTAGACACGTAATTTAATCGATAGTTTTTTACTACAATCCTACATTGATGTTGAAGAAACAATTATTAATTTTCTGTAATAAATAGTTTAAAAGATGCTGGGTTTAAATGATCGTATGTTTAATTCTAAAAAATAAAATAAATATTTTCATAAGTTGAATTGTAAACTAATCTTAAACCAGCAATTGTATTTTTTCTATTATTATTATTATTACTGTTATTACTATTTGTATTTTTCAATGCTGATTACATTCTCATAATTTGCAAAGAATTACCTTGACTCTACTGACTTAACTTACAAGCGATTCAGGTGATGTTTACATTACACAGTATGAATTAATAACCGAGTGTATATATTTGAAAATATATCTTATAAATTTTAATTAATTATAAATATTATCATTGTTGCACAATAATTACGTGGATTATTATTGAATTGTTCTTATTAATTCATTTAAAAATAAATATAAAATATAAAATATAAAATAATAATGAATAAAATATTTTTCAGAGTGAAAAACAACAAAGATGTCGGCAAAGGCGATTAGAGAAGCGACTGGAAAAGATTTAATAAATCGTAAGCTTCGCAGCGGAACAAAAGCAGCTAAATGTCGTTTTGTTGCTATAGACGAAACAACTAATTGGTCAACAATTGCCGATGAACATCCTTGGTTAAAGACTGAAAAACTAGTGGTTAAACCAGATCAACTGATAAAAAGACGAGGAAAACTTGGATTGATTAAAGTTAACGCTGATTTGCCAACGGTTAGACAATGGGTAGAAGAAAGGATCAATAAAGAACAAAAGGTTGAAAAAGCAACTGGAAAACTCAAGACGTTTATTATTGAACCTTTTGTGCCGCATAAACCTGAAGAAGAAGCTTATGTCTGTATCTATTCTCATCGTTCAGCAGACACTATTTTGTTTCATCATGAGGGTGGAGTTGATGTTGGTGATGTTGATGCAAAAGCACTCAAACTTGATGTTCCAGTTGGCCAAGAACTTCCGGATCAGGATACCTTGATCAACAAACTTCTTGTAAATGTTCCAGATGCTAAGAAAAAAATGATTGCCAAATTTATAGACGCCCTTTACAATGTTTACGTTAATTTATACTTTACATATATGGAAATAAATCCATTGGTGGTGACTGATGATACTATTTACATTCTTGATCTTGCGGCTAAACTTGATACCACCGCTGACTTTATTTGCCGACCTGATTGGGGTGAAATTAATTACCCACCGCCATTTGGACGTGATGCATACCCAGAAGAAGCTTACATCGCTGATTTGGACGCTAAATCTGGGGCAAGTTTAAAATTAACCATTTTGAATCCACAGGGTCGTATCTGGACAATGGTAGCTGGTGGTGGTGCTTCGGTTATCTACTCAGACACAATTTGTGATTTGGGTGGTGCCTCTGAGTTGGCTAATTACGGAGAATATTCAGGTGCACCTAGCGAACAACAGACATACGAGTACGCTAAAACTCTTTTGAGTTTAATGACGAAAGAAAAGCATCCTGATGGAAAAGTACTGATTATCGGTGGAGGTATTGCTAACTTTACAAATGTTGCTGCTACATTCAAGGGAATCGTTAAAGCACTCCAGCAATTCCAGCCATTACTTGTTGAGCATGAAATAAAAATATTCGTAAGACGTGCTGGTCCAAATTATCAAGAAGGGCTGAGAATAATCCGTGAAGTAGGACGTCGTTTGGGAATTCCAGTATATGTATTTGGTCCTGAAACACACATGACAGCTATATGTGGAATGGCAATGGGAACAAAACCAATCCCAGACCCAGAAGCTCAAGAATTTTCTACTGCTAACTTTCTTTTACCATCAGGACAAGACGTTGGCCCTACATCACCACTAAACACTAAATCCACGGCAGCTTCACCGCCAGAAAAGCAACCTAAAATAAAAACAGTTGATTCCGTAGACTCTGCTGAATCGCAACAACTTTTCAGCAAAACAACACGCGCTATTATTTGGGGAATGCAAACAAGAGCGGTCCAAAGTATGCTGGACTTTGATTTTGTTTGCAGAAGATCTGTTCCTTCAGTAGCAGCGGTTGTTTATCCATTTGTCGGTGATCATAAACAGAAGTTTTATTGGGGACACAAAGAAATTTTAATTCCTGTTTACAAACAAATGAAAGATGCCATGACGAAGCATCCGGACGCTGATGTAATGGTTACATTTGCATCATTACGTTCTGCGTATGAAAGTACTGTAGAAACTCTTCAATTTCCACAAATACGTACGATTGCCATTATTGCGGAGGGTATTCCAGAAAATATGACGCGTAAACTTATTTTAATGGCTCATGAAAAGAATGTTACGATAATTGGACCCGCAACGGTTGGCGGTGTTAAACCAGGATGCTTTAAAATAGGTAACACCGGTGGTATGATGGATAATATTCTTCACAGTAAATTATATCGTCCTGGCAGTGTGGCCTATGTATCAAGATCTGGTGGTATGTCCAATGAATTAAATAATATAATATCGAAAGCGTCAAACGGCGTGTTTGAAGGTGTAGCGATTGGTGGCGACCGTTATCCTGGTACAACATTTATGGATCACATAATGCGTTATCAAAATAACCCAGAATCAAAATTGATCGTACTCTTGGGTGAAGTCGGTGGAGTTGAAGAGTATGAGGTCTGTGAAGCATTAAAAAGTGGAAAAATAACTAAACCATTGGTATCATGGTGTATTGGTACGTGTGCATCAATGTTCAAATCAGAAGTTCAGTTTGGTCATGCTGGATCTATTGCTCACAGTAATCTTGAGACAGCATCTTCTAAAAATGCAGCCTTAAAAGCTGCTGGAGCTTTTGTCCCAGACAGTTTTGATACTCTCGGAGATTTAATTGGCTCTGTGTACCATAACTTGGTCGAAAATGGTACGATTGTTCCAGAACCAGAAGTACCACCACCTACAGTGCCTATGGACTACTCATGGGCTCGTGAATTAGGATTAATTAGAAAGCCAGCCTCGTTCATGACATCTATTTGTGATGAACGTGGACATGAGCTGTTGTACGCTGGTGTACCAGTTACTGAAGTATTGAAACAAAATGTTGGAATTGGTGGGGTTGTTTCTTTACTTTGGTTCCAAAAATGTTTACCACCTATTTATTGTAAATTTTTGGAAATGTCGTTGATGTTGACGGCTGATCATGGACCAGCAGTATCTGGTGCACACAACACAATCGTTTGTGCACGTGCTGGTAAAGATCTTGTCAGTTCATTAGTATCTGGATTACTGACTATTGGAGACAGATTCGGTGGTGCTCTTGACGGTGCCGCACGAATGTTCTCCGAAGCATATGACGCGGGTCTTCATCCACAAGAATTTGTTAACAATACACGGAAAAAAGGCCAACTTATTATGGGAATTGGACATCGTGTTAAGAGTATCAATAATCCTGATATGAGAGTCAAACTTATTAAAGAATATGTAATGGAAAGTTTTCCTGCAAAACCATTGGTCGAATATGCTCTTGAAGTTGAGAAAATTACTACTAGCAAAAAACCTAATCTTATTTTGAATGTTGATGGTATGATTGCATGCGCATTTGTTGATATGCTCAGGAATTCTGGATCATTTACGAGAGAAGAAGCACAAGAGTATATTGAGATAGGAGCAATCAATAGTTTATTTGTTCTTGGACGAAGTATTGGATTTATTGGTGAGCTAGCTATTTATTTATTGATAAAACTATGAAATAGTTTTTTATTTATCTTTTTTACTTACATTCTATTTTATTTTTTTAGGTCATTACATGGATCAAAGAAGACTAAAACAAGGATTGTACAGACATCCTTGGGACGATATCTCATACGTCTTGCCAGAGCAGTACAATTAAATATTGACGATTATAAAGAAAAAAATTAGGAAAAAAAAATATTAATTTTTTTTCGCCAAAAAAACTTTCATTTCATCCGTCATAAGAACAGTTAAAAAATGGTGTACAATTTTACATTTCTTAATCAATTTTTACGTTGAATTCGTATTTTTTTTTTTTTTTTTTTTTTATTAATGAATTATTATATATGTATAGATTAAATTTTTTGTTTAATAGCACTTGTTACGCAGATAGAAAAGCACGGAAAAATATAAAGAAAAATTTTATTTCAAATAGTTAAAAAAAAAAACTTAAGAGCAGTCGTGACGCAAATTTAGCCAGCACATTTTAGATAAATTTAATCGATCTTATCTAAACAAGTAATAAAAAAATTTAATAGCAAAATTTCTGATCGTCATGCACGCTCTTGTTCGTCCGACTTTGCTCAATTTAATAATAACTAACATTTCTAATAGAAACGAACAAAATAACTAATTTAAGTAAAGTACTAAAGTACTAATATATAACATTTTTTTTTTTTTTATTTCTTTTTCGTTGCTTAACATTCCTTTTATTGCATTTTAATATTTAAATATTTTATAATGTATGAAGAAAATGATATTGTGTTTATTTTTGTTTACGAATTGAAACAACTTTAATATTTAGTGATGATCTGATGATCAGAAGCACAAACTGGCACTAAATAATAATCAATTAAACAACAATCGCACTTTAATGTTTATCCATAACGAAAGTAAAGATTATAAAAAGTGGATTAAATGAAGAAATTAAGATAAATATGTAAACAACAAATGAAAAAAATTATTTGCACAATAGAATATTACTTTTAAAGTAATCAATTGTAAAAAAAAAAAAAAACAAGTGATTAAATAATACATCAAAATAAATTATATCAAATGTATCATTGATGTTTAATTTTTTTTTCCTTTTGCTAGTAAGTAATTTTTTTAATAATTGAAATTGTTACACACGTGACTGAGCTTTTTGAAGCATTTTTTTTTTATTTTGCTCGCATGTATATTTTATTCTAATTTATTTAAAAAAAATTACATTTCTGGTTGGTTCTTTCAATCCAATATTGGACATTAGATCATAAGAATGTTTTAAAAATTTTAGTTTCTGTACTTTTAATGCTTCTTGTTGAAACCGTGAAAAATAATTTTAAAAATAAAACGTTCATTTGCTGTTTGAGAATTTCGATAACATAAACTTTTAAAAATGCCTTAAGCGTGAAGACTGTGCTCTACTAGGAGCCTAAAAAGTTAAATCTTCGATTTCATTATGTTAAATCGTGTCTATATTTATTCAGTAAAATTAATAAAATAAAAAACATCTTGTAGGCAAGTTTTAGATTGCATTTCATTAAAATTTATGTGCTTATTATGACGGAACGTTTTTTGTTACACTCCAAAAAAATGATTTTATCAACTAATGTTGGTAAGATAAAAACTTATGATTTATTTATTACCGACACTTAGAAATGACATTTCTCTTTACTCTCCATTCTCCGTTCTCTTGTATATTCTCACAGTTGCATATGTATTATTGCAAAATGGAGAATATAAAATATATATAAATATAAAGTGCTAATACTGCTACAGTGGTTACTCATTCCCAGATCAAAGTGCTTAATCACAAAATACAGTCAATCTGACACATTACCAAAAAATATACAAATAAAAATACGTAAAACAAAATAAAAGTTATCTATTGAAATAAATCAGTGTTAATTATACCAAATTAAAGAATGATTAATTAGTGATACAATAAGGAGTAAGTATTCAATAAATAAAAAAAATTAACATTCATTTGCTTGTAATAACATTGAATATATTATACGTCATATTTTATCACCTATCTTTAACAAGTTTTTTTTGCCTCTAGAGTCTTTGTTTATGTATTATAGATAATTTAGAACAATGGAAAAGTATTTAGATACGAAATATGGTTTTTTGTACCAATAAACAAATTTATTTTTTTATATATAATTAATTTTAGCTTTTTTTCAATGAAAAAAAAAAAAATTTTTAGCTTGGTGAAGTATTTTTATTAATTGATCTTGTTTTAAAAAAATATTTTTTTCATTTTTAAAATATATATTTTTTCAGGATAAAATCCAATATAATTTTATGACATAAGAAGAAATAAATAAAAACAATGGCGTGGACAAATTACCAAAAATTTCTAGCTCTCCTTATGGTCGTGACTGGATCATTTAATACTTTGTCTGTCAAGTAAGTTGATTTATTATTGAATGATGACAATATTGTTTTTCAATGGATAAATTGTAAATAATTATATTACAGATATTCAGACAGATTAATTGTACCGGGTGCAGATGGACAACCAAGACATTTCAACCATCCATTTATCCAGTCAAGTTTTATGTTTTTAGGAGAAATGTCTTGTTTATTGATTTTTAAAATCATATATGTTTATTATAATCGTCTTAACGTAGGTTTTATAAATTTATATTTTTCATGATGTTGAAAAAGGTTGACGTCAGTAAATTTTTCATAAAAAAAAATAATAAAAAATATTTTTCTATAGATTTAATAATACTTCTGTAAGCTATATGGGTCATTCCATGTCAAATCGGCCAATAGTTGGAATCGACCCCTTTCAATTTGAACGAATTTTGGTCAGAAGTTTTCTTTTATCATATAACGAAGTTCTGCCAAAGGAAAAAAAATAAAAAAATTTTTTTCAAAGGATATGCAAACTCAAAATTTCGCGTTTTTTCCAGTTTTTAAATTTTGTTTTTGTAATATCTCGAACGCTAGGATAGATACAGGAATGATCTTTCGTTTGTTTGAAAGGGGACACTTGGAGCTATTGAAAAAAAATATTTTGGCAAAAAATTTTGAAAAATGCCAAATTTGTCAAATTTTGAATTTTTGAAAATCGTCAAAAATGACGGTCGACAATAAATTTTTTGCTCAAATTTTTTTGTATACTGCCTTGTACCAATCTTAATAGATCCTGAAATTTTTGGAACTGTGTTTTTTGTTTTCTCAAAAATATGAATTTTTGAAATTTGTTAAAAAAAAAAAAAAAAATTTTCTCAAAAATTTTTTTTTTTATTTTTATCTTAATTGAGTTTGGTAAATCGCGTAATTTCGATATTCTGAACAGTTAAAATATCATTTAGTGGCATAACGATGAGAAAAAAAATAATTTTAAGAAAAATTATATGTAAAAGTTATTTTATTCATACTCAATCTCAAATTTATTTAGAAATAAAAAACTTAAACGTCTACCATTTCATCATGATGGATTCTATTACATTATAAATAATTAAACAAAAATATGATACTGAAATTGAGAGACATCTAATAATTTTAAAAAATTTTTTAACAAATTAATTTATCACAAAAAAAAAGTTATTAAAAAAATTTTATATTTCAGAGCTTATAAAAATTATAAATGAAATTTTTTTAAATAATTTTCTAGACCTTGTTTATTTAAAAAAAAAATAAAAAAGTGTCTGCTAATTTCAGTGTCATACAAAAATACTTAAAACAGTAAAAATTACTATATAGGATGGATCTGTGGACAATAATCGTTTAACTAAAGGCTCAAGAAATTTTAACCCGTTAATATTTGTAATTCCTGCATTATGCGATATGATTGCAACATCGATAATGTACGTCGGATTAAATTTAACTTACGCTAGCAGTTTTCAAATGCTTCGCGGATCTGTTATAGTTTTTACGGGTATTTTATCAATGGGATTCTTGGATCGTAAACTTGGGACACGAGAATGGTCAGGAATTGGGATGGTGATATTTGGTTTAGCTCTCGTTGGAGTAAGTGATTTATTAATATCAGAACAAACGATGGATAAAAATTCTATTATTACTGGTGATTTACTCATTATTTCTGCTCAAGTAAGAATCTTTCATAATAATTAAATTACTGAAAAAGTTAAGTACGTTTATATCTATATCCTTTTAAATTATTGTTTAATAGGTAATAACAGCTGTGCAAATGGTAGTTGAAGAAAAGTTTTTATCCGGATTAGACATTCCACCACTTCAAGCTGTTGGTTGGGAGGGAATTTTTGGTTTCCTTGGAATTGTTTTAGCTATAATTCCATTTAATTATATAAAAGCTGATCCTCCATTCGCTGACAATTCACAAGGAACACTTGAAGCACCTATCGATGCTTTTATTCAAATTGGAAACAGTGGAAGACTGTTCATGTCCATCATAGGTAAAAACTACTTAATAATTATCAATAAAAATATTTATCATTAACTATTTATTTACAACTGCTTTGTATTTAAAGGTATTATGTTGAGTATTGCATTCTTCAATTTCGCTGGAATCAGTGTAACTAAGGAAATGAGCGCTACTACACGAATGATCCTTGATAGTATAAGAACTATCACCATTTGGATATTTTCAATTATATTTCAATGGCAAGAACTTCATTACGTCTCCACTACTATTCAAGTAAGTAAAAATAATTTTTATCTTTAACTTAGACTATATATATTATTTACTAAACTTAATTTTTTAGTTATTTGGATTCACCATTTTATTAATTGGAACGTCATTTTATAACAACGTGTTGATTCCACAATTATTACGAAAATGTCAATCGAGACTTGGAAGACACCGACCACCACGTACTGATGAAGTTCGAGTGATAAATCCGACGACTGGTGATCAAGATATCGAAGATAATCGATAAGATAAAATAACTATTAAATAAATGCATATTACTATAAGAAAAAAAAAATGTATTTTATATAAATGAAAATTTTGTATATTTCATTGATATTAATTTCATAATTGTTATATGAATTCAAGACTGTAAATGAAAATCTCTTTTCTTATCAAATAATTCGTGATTCCAATGTCTAGATTTTATTCTTGGTGGTTAAGTATACCTTTTTGCCACTTATTTTTTAATCGACTTATGTTGTATTAAAACTTTAAATTTGAATAAAGTTATTTCATATGAGCAGTTGATTAACTAAAACATACTTTCATAAATATATTTTTTTAATGTACTATTATAAACAATAAAATTATAAAAATGAAACTAACTATTTACCTCATAGAGTAAAAATAGGTAAATATTGATTAGTATTAAACTAATTGTTTATTTTTAATAGTTTATGTATTACAAAGATAATCATATTTTATCATTTTTAATAATCTTTAATCATAACAGTAATTATTTATCTTAAATGAAATGGACAATATATATTTCCTCTTCCATATATTGAGCAGAAAAATCATTTATCCCTAAAATTACTTATCTCTGTATTTTTTTTTTTATAAGTATTATACTTAAAAATATCAAATAATTTAATGAACCTTAGTAATATTCACTAAAACCAACTTTGTCTTTTTTTTCATTAATAATCATTAAAATGATGATGCTCAAGTAAACAAAAAAAAAAAAAAAAAAAATAATAATAATGAAATTAAAAAACTTTAAATAAACTGAAAAACTAAAAAGTTAAGCATTTCACCGGATATTAAAAATTTACTTAAAAGTAACTCAAGTTTTAAAAAAGCAAATAAATTTTCATTCCTTAAAATATAAAAAAAAAAAAAAAAAAAAATAACTTTTTCCTTCGTATTTTCTTAAAGGAAGTATAAAAGAGTTTCCAACTGAGCGTTTGGTGAGCGGTGAATACTTTGAGAAACTAAAAATGCCAATTTGTGAGCGTACTGGCAAGGCGCGGGAACTCGGACAGTTCCGCTCCAGTTGAAGTACATGTGCGTCAACTGGAAAGTCAAGCGCTGAAGCGCTGACACGTCGAGACCAGCGTTGTCTTGAATCACATTGTAGGCTGTAGGTGAGACAGATCCTTGTCTGACACACTGAGATACAATGAAGAAATCGTACCTCCATGGATTGGTGATGACGTCGTCGACTACAGTACCAGGTGGCGGATTTTCACGACGGTTGTAGAACAAACGGGTGTTAATACGCTTAGTGACGATGACGAACGTCATCTTCACTGCTTCAGGACGACCGTACATCTTAGCAAGAGCTTCGTTCAAATGATTGACTTCGTGGTTCAGCACGTGGGGTATTTGACCGTCGCCGACACCGTCACGGTAGATGATAATACGTGCAGGTAAACTACCGTTGTTCAATTCAGAATACTTGCGTAATGCTTTGACCATGTTCAAACTAAACTCGTTTGACAGTTCTTCATTACTGCGATGAGCGGTGACTGCAGAAAAGTAGCGGGTCATTCCACGATCAAGAGTTGCAACCATAGCACCTGGAAAAATAATTCAATTGATTAATTAATAAATTTAGATATTAATTATATATTGATGTATTATATTATACATACATAGATTAAATGACATAAAGAATTGATAAAAATACTTTTAAATATTAAATTACTTTAAATTATTTCTAAATTTATCTAATATTTTTCAATTTTCTTATCAAATGTCAGAACTAGATTTATCGAAAGGTAAAATTTTCTATTAACAATAACTTCTGGAATTTAAAGATTGATCACTAGTTTAAGGAGATCCAAGTACACTCCTAGTGTAAAGAAAGTCTATAAATAAATAGTACGTAGAAATACTTTTGTCATGCATCTTAAAATTAATTTTTAAATGTTGCCAAGTCAAATACAAAACTTAAAAAAAAACCGAAGTTGCTTGTGATTTTTCATAAAAAATACAAAATATCTTCGTAATACGTTCGAAAACCTACTTTTTTTTTAATGAAAATAAAGTTAGCCGTCATCTAAAAATTTTTTTGTTTTTTTTTTTATTAAAAAAATATTACAAAAAAATTTTTTTTCAATTTTTCATTTGTTAAAAACTTCAAAAACTATAAGTGCATTTTTTTAAAAATATTTGCTAGTTATAATTTAATAAATTAAGCAAAATAACAAAATCAAAAAAGTCGGCTAACTTCATTATTATCATCTTTTTTTATTGTTTTAATCGAAAGCTTATCATTTTTTCAATCAAATTCAATGAAAAATAAAATTTTTTAAAAACCATCAATTGCATTAAATTCTTAACCAAATACATGGCTGGTGGAATCTCCATTTACCTACATGTAAAAATTACATTTTTCAAACCTAATTATTTGATTAAATATCCCGGAAACCTAATGTTTTTGAATTTTTTTTATCAATTATTAGGCTACGTAGATTGAATTTCCAAATTTTCAGGAAGTTTTAAAAACTTGACTACTTCGTGTGGATCTCCTTAATATATATAAATGAAATAACAGAAAAATTTACTCACCATAATCTGTTCCACGTTGGTTAGGATCGTGACAAACATCAAATCCGACAACCATTAATCCAGCCATTCCAAATTCCAAAGTCCAAGGAGCACCACCGATCTTGCAGTTCATCTGAATTGCAACTTTGGTAGCAATTGACATGGCTCCTTTGGATGCTAAATTTTTAGCAAGAATGACCTGACTCGGAACTGGCCGATCTACACAGCACTTCTTTTTAATAGAGGCATAGACATCAGCACGTGATCTTGGTGTAACACAACAGACTAGTTGAGGAGTAGATCGGCTCAAGATGTTTTCCAGTTCGTCAGTATAATCAGAAGCGTAGTCTCGACGAATATCAATGACGCGAGGTTGACTGACCATGAATGACATTCCTTGACCGGCTCTGATGATGTTACTCACGAAATTCTGTCAAAAAGTAAAAAAAATTTTTAATTATTCGTTTTTAATTTAAAAAAAAAAATAATGAAGTTGAAGTCATTAGAAATATTAGTTGAAAAATAAAATTATGATATATAAATTAGTACTTCATACAATTTAAGTCAAGATATTTATGGATAAATATGTAACGATTTAATTGAAATAGGATTTTACCTGAGCTTCCCCACGTCGTACACTGTTTGGAACAATGAGAACCCAATCAGATAATTTGGTACAAACAATCAATCGCGAGGATCGGAAGTGTTTAGTCCAATCAGCAGACTGAGTGGCTGACTCCCTCGAAGCTCCAAAAATGATGTTTTCTGGTGGGATTACACGAGCTGGAATTTCGACCAAGTTAGTATCTAATCTTAAATTCCACCGTTTAAACTCTTGGACTACTGCCGGTGTCTCCTGCAATCTTCTGTTGAACATCAACAATTTGTCGATACGCCTGTCAGGGTTAACACGGGTGTGCTTAGCTAATGCAGCCATCAACTTATAGTCGTTTCTCATCTCGTCGGTCAATCCTGAAATTAAAAAAAAAAAATTCAACATTTATCAAGACTTAAAAATGTAATTAAATAATTTAAAATGCAATTTGTTAAAATATTAGTACCTGTAGTGCGACACAATTCAGGAATTAAATAAAGTATATCATCTTGTCCAGCACGACGATCTCTCTGATCTGAACGAGAGGCAAGAAGCGGCTGTTTATGATCTTTAATGGAAATTCCGTACTTGGTTTGATAATATTTTAAGTAAGTTGTCGGAACTCGATCCTTTCCGAATGGAAATGTAGACTCAGGCGTTCTGGTGAAATCAATATCATCAATACGGTAAGTGTTGTTATTGTAATCAGTCATTACTCGTGAATTCAATACGGCAGCTTTGCAGGCTCCCTGAAAGAATTAATATTAACATTGATAATAATAAAAAAATATGATAAACTGTTTCATGATACATACATGTACATCACCACCACGACACTGGTTGCGAACTTTTTGAAGAACATGGTATACGGTCTCTTGGCGCATCACTTTGTGAGTGATTTCACAACTCATGAGGACATCGCGTTCATGTTGACGAATTGATGTTTGATAACCGGGCCATAATTGAAGTGCAAATTCATGAATGTTAACCTGAAAATTGTTAAAAAAATAAAAAATGTTAATAATGTATACTAAATGAATTGTTTTAAAAAAAATTTTAAGTATATGACTTGATTACACTGGCTCTAGGATCATAATAATCACGATTGACTAATTTAAGCTGAAGGTGTTCTAATCCTTTACGAGCAACGATGTTATAAAATTGAGGATAGGCTGGATCTCCTTTTGTCATTTCTCCAACGAGACGGATGCTGATTCTAATTTGGGCATTGTCTGATAGTCTTTGAGAAAATAATTCCCACGCCTGTGAATACAGAATTTTACATTAATATGAAATTTTAATTTAAAAAATAAAAAAAAAAAAAACAATAAGGAAAAAGGTCTTACTTCTGTTTTAGAACATTGATAGCGATTCGTGGAGTACAACATGGTACCATCAAAGAGGTAGTTGCCTAGTACTTCGTGATGAATACGAATTAGTCCTTTACGGACCAATAGCCTGTCTTCTTCAGGAGCAAAGTCAACCCGATACTGCTTTAAACACCAATCGGGAGCGCTCAAAATCTTGAAGAAGTTGGCTTGAAGCTTTATTGGATTACCGATAGTTCCTAGAGAAAAAAAAAAAAAAAAAAAAATAATAAAAATTATAAATCTATCAAGATAAATATTTGAAGAAATTCAAGTTTAAAAAAAAAAAAAACCTTTCTTAGATGCTTTAACATGAACGGGTCGGGAATTCAAAATATCTGGGTTAACCATTCTGCGTCCTCGCATGGCTCCACGTCCAGCAGCTGATGTTGATGCATCGCCACCACCTCCTTAAAAAAAAAAAAATTCTTAATTATTATAGTTCATTGTGAGTTCAGACAAAAAAAAATTAATAAATAACTATCGGAATTTTAATCTTACAATACTGGCATGCTTTCAAACCTGAAAAATGTAATATAATGATTAATTTACTAAACAAAGTGATGATCGACATACCGACTTGTGCAACGCTTGAGGGTGGAGGAGCCGGACGATCGACTCCTGGTGGACGCTGGTCTCCAGCAGGGGCGGCAGTTGGCACTGGTGCACGAACAGACCGACCTAAACTCTGTGGGCGAAAATATTTCGTCTTTCTCCTCTCGATTAATGATCTATTCTCTAGAAATGGTTTGAAAAAAAAAACTTTTAGTTACCGGTGGAGGTCCATACTGCTGAGCGGGGTCATGAGCTTGCGATGGTCCCGGACGGCGTCCCCATACTCCTTGAGGCTGCTGCTGCTGCTGCTGCTGAGGTACGCTGCTACTAGCCCTTCCTCGACTTCGTCCAGCCGGACGATCACGACGATTGTCCATGATATCAAAAACTAGAAATATATGACAAAGTTAAAATTTCTAATAAGTTAATTTGAAAATAAAACAATTAAACAAAAAAAATTTTCAGGTAAATTTCAAATTGAATAAATTTTTTTTCAATGGTATTTTTGGTGAACCAAAATTGAAATAGAAAACCTTGAGAATAAAAAAGAATGTGATGGAAAATGAATTCGGGAGGAAAGAAAAAAAAAAAAAAAAAAACTAAGCAAATAATAAAACAGAAGAATTTTACATGTCTGAACAAGTCTGGCTTGCTCTTGAGTCTGATTATTAGCAACCGACGCGCGAGATTAATTTTTACTTGAGTCGAGACAAAGAATTTCCAACTATTTATTCGAAAATACAAACAGAATAACTGAAGTCGAGTTAAAAACGCCATTTTGTCTAAGATGAAATTTCAGACTAAAAGTTCTAAGAATCCGACATCTTTTGTAGATAAAAAATGCCAGTGCGTCCGAGAATTCTCGAGAAGTTGAAGAAAAAATAAACTGAGATAAAATAATTAAACTTAAAAATTGATAAATTAAAACTGGTATAAAAATAGGTATCTAAAAAAAAAGGAAATGTATAAAAATTGCTATTCATAAAATAAAAATGACGAAATTAATCCGCGAACATCCGAGAACAAAAGCCGGTAGATAAATTGCGACACAAACACACAAATTGCAAAGATGCACTAATTATTAGTTAAATTTTTCACTAGTTTGAAATAATTAACAGTCTTAAATCAATTTCAATCTCAAATAATTAATAAATTTTAAAATGTAAAAATACACCCAGCAAAAAAATGTGATTGTACAAAAAACCAAGTACGGGCGATAACGAAGCATTTGCGCGATAATAAATTAATAACAAGTAAAATAATAACTTGCTTAGATTCTTGAATTATTAACGGAATAAATTTAATGCCGATTGATCAATTAATTACCTGATTATGTAAAAATTTTAGAAAACGCGGATAATAAAAAAATGAACAGAGGCGCGCCTGCACGTCCTCTCACTAACAATGCTGACGCGGTTGTGGCGAGCCGTTGCCAATCGGTTGTGTCTTTTGGTGGTTGTTCGACGGTCTTTCAAGTCCATACCACGCCACGAATCAACCCGAAACCTCCATTCGGGAATGCTCGGCTGAATTCTGTGGAGAAAACGTTATTTTAGCTTCCTGATTGGTCGAGAGTTTTTGAATTGCCGAGAAGGAGAGGGTGCTGCAGGATTGTTTACTACTGTGTGGCCACGAACAAAGAAAAATGTCAAGTCGCCTGTCGTACTCTAGTCATAATGTAACCATCTAATACGTATCTTAGACTTGATTTTATTTTATTTATAAATTATTTAAATTTTCTTTATGTAGATAATTAGCTTAGTAATTATTTTTTATAGAGGAACGTTGAAAATTCATGGAGTTAAAATTAACAAACATTTGATAATTTTTGGTTCATATATAATAAATAATTAGGTACTAGAAAATACTAAAAAAATTTTAATCATATTTTTGTGAAAAATTTCTACTTATGGATTTTTTTATGATATTGAATTAGCAAACATATGATAATTTTTTAAATTTGTATAACCAGTTAATTATTAAAAAAATATATTTTAAAAAATTCGCACTTATAATTTTTCATAATTTCTACAAGTGGAATTTTTTTGCTAAATTTTTTTCATTGTTATTTAATTATTATAAAAATCGAAAAATTGTTAAATTCAGTATCGTATTTTTTTATGTTAATAATTTTTTTGAAAATATTTTTATTACAACTTATTTTTTTTATTTTCAGATTTGTTATTTTTAGTATTGTGATATTCACAATTATGTTGAAAAAAAAATTTTTTTTTTTTTTTAATATTACAGGTTTTCTTTATCCGAAAACATGAATAATAAATAAAAAATATCAAATAAACTAAATTAAAACATCTGAAAAAATTTTAATACTAAGGTTTTGGTTAATTTTTATTTTATACATTCGAACTTAAATTTATTTAAAAAATTGTATTTATTTACATAATTCAATTTTCTGTTTACTGCTAATAATTATTTATTTAATATTTCTTATTAATAAAATTTTTATTGCAGATGACAATTAAATTGAAAGAAACCAGGGCTGTCGATCAAGTATTTTATCTGGTACTTATTTATAAATCGTTTGTAAGTGATATAACACTTATCAGTAATAAATCTTTTTAGAAACGATAGAGTTACCGAAGGTACATATAATATTTCATGCAACAAAAGTACTCTTTATTTATGTAAGCATAATATACAAATGGTACATTATATAATTTGATGTTATTTCTAATATTTTTTTACATTGAACAATTAAAATTTTGATTATAAATAGAAGTAATATACAAATATTAGAATCAGGTTTTTAATAATGTAATGAAAGGTGAAGATACAGCAGTATAATTAATAAAAGAACTCTATTAGTATAAAATTAAATTTTTTTACAAATATATAATGGTAAACTTTTACAATTGAAAATAATTGTGTTTTTATCAAATTTAATGATAATTCTATTTATTTTTTGTTAAATAATATACTTTAATTAACAGTAATTTACTGAAGGTTTTTATAGTTACTTGGCTTAGGATCATGTAATATTGATATGTTGTTATTTAAATAAGAGCTAGAATAGAAAGAAATATCACAATAGTAACTCTAAATTGAATGTAGATTCAAATGAGATTAAAAGTAAAGAGTATTTTGGTGGTTATCAACTGTAAAATAAAAACAAAAAGCTTATTTTACCCGAAGTTTATTATTAGGTCTATTATTTGTTTTGTTGTTTTGTCTGTTTTGTTGATTCTCTGTCTCAACTCTTATTGTATTTGATATTCGGGCATGTTGTAGGTAATATAAAAATATAAATGTTTATGTATATCTCATTATACTTCAAATTAAGGCGTTACATTATGATTAAGCTATTCAAGGTATATAACCGATTAAATTATAATTATAAAAATGTAAAAATGTAGTACAGTAGTCTGATACTTTTTTTCATTTATTTGTCATAACCCGAATTTTTCTACATAACTAATTAATAAATTCGAATTTCCAAAGTCATTATTACACAACAATCAACATTAAAATGATTTCTTATCTAATTTTTCGCAAATTTAATATCTGATTATAAGGGAAAATTTTTTCTAGAGATGAAGTTATTACAAATTCTTCACTACGAGTAGTTATAATTTTAATTTATTTTTTCCGTTATATTTTTCCACGTAACGTCAAAATTTTAAATCTTTAAAATAACATCAACCAAGAAAAATAAAAATTTCAAATATATTAAATTAAAAAAAATAAGAGAAAATCTTTTACTAACAGTCAAGTAGGTAAAACGAAACGTAGCTATTGTATGTAAGGAGAAAATTTTATCTATTTTGTATTTTATGGCCCTTTTCCTGTAATGACCTTGGGGTTCTCATGCTACATTAGTGGTACTTGAAACCTAAGTAAAGCGAGGGTTTACTTACACATTATTATACAGAATTTTGAAGCTATAAAAATATTCCTGGAAATAATTATGGGGCTAAAAATGTGATAGATTTATACCTAAAAACTTACTTAAATAAGTAAAAGTAAAATACAAAACTGCAATATAAATATATTCGCGTGTATTCAATTTTGAACTCTATGAACAGCTTATAGAAGATAAAACTATTTTTCAATGTAAAACATAATGTCACTAAGTCCTTTTTTCTTCAATAAGTTACACTAATTACATTTAAACCTATACATTGCTAGAACTTTACTGTAAAAAAAAAAGGAATTTAATTTTCTTAATCAGCTTATTTTTAATGAAAAGATGTTTTAAATTGCATTTTATAAATTTTTTAAATTCAATTTTTTTTTTTTTTAGCGTTTGTATCATTTTGTTCTTCTAATCGAGTAACTTGTGTTATTATTGTCAATTAGGGTAGTTTCACGCATATATCACCCTGGGACGCTAGCTACACTTGGTAACTAAATGTGTCATCTTGGACTATAGGCGATGGTCATTCACTTAGAAAAACATAATCGGCTTAAGTAATAAACAACTACTCAAAGTATTACTATTATAAAAAGTTTGGACTGAGAGTATTGGGAATTTTTTGTTTCAAGAAAAAATCCCGCTATGTTAAGGTGAAACAAGTTATCAAATACGTTTTGAGTATACAGGTAATGCATTTTAGCTTGTAAAATATTAACATGTTGAGTACTGATGTTCAATAGGTATTTAAAAGCAAACGCGCTACAAGAGATTACAAGACCTAATCCCAGATGCACACATCTTATACAATGTAGTCTCATCCAGGTAAACGTGGCTATTGTAGCTACAAGAGCTGCTATAAATTTTAAGGACTCAATTTGGCGTTTTTTTTACCCATTAATAGAAAGAGGTTTTGACCCGTAGAATGGCTATTAAAACATGCTGCCTTTTTTCCAGAGTATTTTATTTGTTAATTTTAAGGAATGGAATGAGAGCTATTGTGAAAATGTGAATTCAGAAAACGAATATTATTGTTTTTGATAATTATTTTTATTAATAGTTCAACTCTAAGACCTATATTCTAAATGCAAAATTTTATTTTATGCAAGATCAGAACATTATAGACAAAAAATCGTATATACATTTATACTGATGACAGTCGTTTTGCGCTGTTATATAATAAAATAACAGAAGAAATAGTTTTTTTTTTTTTATCATTATATACGTGTGTTGCAGTATATAATAATCATATTTTTGTCAATTTATAGGAAAATAATAATTGTAAATTAAAAATTTAGATCGAGATCGCTTTCTCAAATTTTTTTTATCATATTTTTTTGAACCATAAAGTGCTACTTACGACGTTATTTGAAATGGGTTTTTCCATTGAATCAATTTTGTGGTTCCTGTCCTACCTCACGGATAGATCTCAGTCGATTATTGATGTCTCGAATACTCCTTCAAGACCTTCATTTACTACGTCGGGGGTTCCACAGGGATCGATCTTGGGCCCTATTCTTTTCTTGATTGCTATAAATGGAGTGACGAGGCGATTGCAACATTGTAAATACGGTTTATTTGCGGATGATTTGTGGGCTTATATCCATTTCAAATCTTTTGAGTTGTATGAGGCTGCAGACAAACTTACTGTCGATGCTCAAAGTGTGGCAGATTGGGCTCGTGAAAATGATCTACAATTAAACTTCAATAAAACTAAGGTCATGATCCTAGGCAGCAAAGGAAAACTGAAGTTACTTGATGGTTTTGACCTACCACCAATCATTGTTGATGGTAATGTCATACCTTATGTCGATACCACTAAACATCTAGGCATCGAACTATCGAATAACCTCTCATGGAATGCTCATACTTCGCAAATCTCTAGGAAGGCCTATGCTGCGTTAAACAGCTTGAAGTATAGGAAAAATATCTTACCTAAATCTTGTCGCAAGCTACTTGTTACTACTACCATCCTACTGATAATTAATTATTGCTCTCTTGTATTGTTAGACTCATCAAAAGGACTTGATATCAAATTACAACGCATACTAAATAGTACAATAAGATTCATCTTTAATCTTAAGCGGGATGAGCATATCACGCCCTATCGTCAAGATTTAAGATGGCTCAGTATCAGGATGCATAGGATTTATAGTCTGGCATGTTATTTTTACAAGTTATTGCAGACTGGAGAACCAAAATATCTGCGAAAACTGTTCTGTGATGAAGATGAAAGTGTTAGGCGTTCGGATAGACTTGCTCAGAAAAATAATAATATTATCTTCAGAATTCCTAATTTCCATTCTGTTGTCTTTGAACGCTCATTCGTAGTGTCAGCTATACGCCTATGGCAGGAACTTCCGCTGGATGTTATAAGCCCTTTATCAATAGGGAGTTTTAAACTCAAAATGCTAAATTACCTTTTGGATCTTGAAGCTGGTGGCAAAGACGTGAATTTGGTTATAAATAATTTGTAACTTGCAGGAATTAGTAGGAGTTGTAAATCTTGTAAACATTGTTAAGAGTAGATTTGTAAATTTGTAAATTTATAAATTTATAAATTTTTAAATTGTTATGTTTTTAATTACTTACGAAGTAAATTAAATATTAGTTATATATTCATGTAAATATATGTCCACTGTTTTGTATTCTTGCCATTCGGCTCTGGCCTTGGCATACAATTAATAAATAAATAAAATAAATATTTTACATAACTACTATCATAAGTAACTCATCAAGTTTTTTTCGATATTCTATCGAATTCGTTGCTGTACATCATATTTTAATATTCATAAAAATCTTTTAACAATTGTAAAAATGATATTGTTATTAACACGCCTGCATTTTCAACTGATGACGCTATCATTGAAGATTCTTAAAGCATCAAATTGCGCGTAAGCGGAGAAAATTCACCATACAAAATGTGAACATCCGTATTTTTGGTAATTTATTTATTTATTTATTAATCAACATACGCCTATCGGCAATATACATCAATAAAGAGTATTTAAAATTAAATAACATTAATTTAAGAGAAAAATTAATTAATGAGAAAAAAAAAACAAGAAAAAACAAGAGTCTTTGTAATTTATACATAAATGAGCAATTGTTTTTTGATATTTGACATATATGCACTGAATGTGCCACCGTAGAATTCCACTTCACCATTTAACTTGTTCACAAGGTTTACGATTCTGTCTCCTTTAATGCCTCAACATTAGGTTGGCAGGTGTATATTCGAAGCTGCTGCAGATGTCCGGGGAGTCAATGATTCCATTGATTACCTTGTAGAAAAAAGCCATATTGGCGACCTGGCGACGATTAGTCAAATAGTTTAGTTTGAAGTATCTGCAAAGATCATCAGAAGTATAGGCATTTGCTCGCGACCAGCATCAAAGCTCGAAGCAATTCAAGAGACAAAAACGAAATTTTCTGTAAAAACTATATAGAAGTTTTCATATAAACTATATTTCAAACAATGTAAAAGAGTAATGTTTTATGGCGATATCGGTGAAAAAGTATTTGGAAGTAACAATGATTGGGAATACTCGAAATATATATATATTAAAAAAAAAAAAAATTTATTAGATGGAAAAGATGAGTTCTTGCCAATAAATTAATTGATCCTGTACATAAACCTCATAGTTTATAAAGATTACGAATCTTTTGCCAGAATAAGATTCTACTAAAAAATTTTGATCAGTTGGTAGACGATTTTAAACAAATTTTTCAAATTATACACTTATTGATAATACAATAAAACCATTGAAAACTCTTAAGCATAAAATTAATTATGATTTTAGAGAACTGCTTATTACTAAAAAGAAATGTTATCTTGTCATTGCTGTGGGTGATAAAACATTTCAAGCTCATAAAACAATTCTAGCTCCCGATAGCCTGTTTGATGCCATGCATGTTCTCACGCGACATGAAAGAAAACAGAGAAAATGTAATAACCATACCAGATGTTGATCCTAATGTTTTCGAAAAAATTCTTGAGTTCATATACACAAATTAAGTTAATAATCTGGATAGTGATGTTGAAGAATTATTATAAGCATTTGATGCATACCCGATACAAACACTCAAGAAAATGTGTGAATATTATCTATCCAAAACAATTTCTATTAAAAATGCTATTAGAACATTGGTTTTGGCTGATTGTTATGCCAAAAGATTGATGGACTTTTCTGTGTAATTTATAATTATTTAGATGGTTTGTTGTTATAATTACTTTTTTATAATTTACACTTGATTAAAAAATTTTATTTATGTATTTACTATTTCTGTTTTAGGTTTTCATCACAAGAAGTAGCCAATTTACAAAAAATTTTCCAATTTAAATTCGTATAAATTATTAAAGAGTGATTATGTTTCATATTTTAAATTACTCTATAATTGATACTGTTTTTCATGATAACGTTATGTAAATTTTATTATTTTCATTTGACAGTGGTATATAAAAAAATATAACTATAGTCTTGCATTTATTTTCTGATAACTAAAGTTGGAAACAATCAATGTGCTCTTTATGTTTTTTTCATTTTATAATCTTTAATATTTTTGTACTAGATATTGTTTTTTTTTCTTCTTAAATCAGCTGAAGTGAGATGTTAAAATAAAAATGATTAATGGAATTGTATTTCAGTTTTCAAAACTTTGATTGTATAAGTAGTTTGGAATTTTACAATAGTATTTCTTCAGTATGATTTGTATTTTCTTACATTGGTACAAATTTTTCATATTTTATTATACATGTACTAATAAGCAAATAAAAATTAATGAATAAGTGTGTAGCTAAACTTATTTGATTATAAAAAATTCATTAACTCATACACGCAAAACATTCTTTAAATTTTTTTCTTTTTTTAAAAATAAGATGTATGACCACTTACTTAATCTGGATATTTAAAAAACATTCATTTATTTAAATTTTATTATTACTTATCGAAATTTTGTAAAGCTGTTGAGCAAATTGGTTAAATCAGAGTGATATATTTTATGTTATTTATTTTTAATAATGATACTAGTCAATATTAATTTACCACTCAAATTGTATACCTTTTAACTATTTCTGAATGTATATATAATGTACCCTTAATTATGTCTGTATTTTTTTTTTATAAGATTG